GTTATTGGCTTCAAGCTTTAATCTGTACATAAGGCCTTGTTACCCTTATGCCTTTGCTACTCAGAGAGGTAATGCTTCCATTAAAGCCAACATTAAGTGAAAATTATATTTTTTCTTTAAACAGTGTTTTCTTTCTTCATTCTGAATTTGAGCATTGTGCTTAAATAGTATTGTGATTGTGATTCTTACACTATTAACCCTTATTAGTTATGACATTAGACACAATTCAAAAGTAAAGAAAGCTATTGGAATATTAAGAAGTTGGAAGCAGACACCAGAGTCTTGACTTGGACTCTGATTCAAAGGCTTCACTCAGACTCGTCCCTCAGAGACTTCAGACTTGAATTGGACTCTAATTCAGACTTGACTCAGACTTGCATATTGCGACTCATGAACATCTCTGTGGTGGGATTATCGTTGAAAAGTGCAAATCCATTTCACATATGGAGGATTAGCATGGCCTCCTGCTTCAGGTTTGTCTCTAGAGGCCTGGCCAGATGTCCTGTGATGTTCGAAGCAGCAAACTCAGCTGACACACTTGGAGGGTCACTCGCCAAACATGATCCACCATTTCCACTGCTGGCTGCTGTCTGATTATTCATGTTTTCTTATTACTCTGGACTTGAAGGGATCTTCTGAGCTCGGTCACAACATACAGTGAGCTCCTGTGCATTTCCTTCATAGTACTGAGCCACCCAAACAGAAACCCACAGACAGCCCAGTGCTGAAACAGAAGGATTCAATGTCATTCTGCGTCAGATTCAACTCTAAGCTCAATTCGAATGGCTACTCAGAGGTGAAATTAGATTCAGCCTTCATAATACTTTCCATAATCTAGAGATGACGAAATAAACCAAGATGGCGATGTTCACCACAAAAGGGAAACATTTCTTATTGCTTCCCATGTGCTGTTGCTTGTCTGCAATCCACCTCCGTTATACGGCTCTCCGTCTCCTCAGAAAGCCAATCCTTTCCTTCCCCTGTCTCACCTTCCCCAAGTCCACCTTGCCTTTTGTCTCCTCTCATCCCTGCCCACTTCTCCCTCATCCCTCACTGCCCTTTCCCTTCCTTATTCTGCGCTCCCCTTCCGCCATAACCGTCCGAGCCTCTGTCTCTCAACAGCGGGGCCTGTCAGGGTTTTAGGAAACTGCTGAGCTGTGAAATTGCACAAATTGCCATTGCTTTATGTTTGGCCTGGCAACAGGGGGAGAGAAAGAATCAGGGAGAAAGAAATGGGGGGGGGGGGTGTATTTTATGCTCCAACACTTCAGCTGCCCCATTCCCTTTAATGCACACTTTTAAACCTTTCTTGTTCCTCCACCGCATTCCCTCTTGAATACACCAGCTCACATTTTCCCCTCTCTGCTGCCACAAACATAACCCTTGAATGTACTACTCCCCCCCACAACCCTCCCCCTGCCCCCCTCCCCCGCCACCCGCGGCCTCTGTTGGCCCACAGCTCCTCCACTTCGCTTCAGCGTCCGGGTCACTACACTTTAAAACATGGACTGGCAGCCGCTGGAGCGATAAAGACCTTCAGGCCTGGGGGAGGACTGCCCCCCCCCCCCCCCCGATAAACACAGCACCTGCCGCATTAAGGTGAAGAACAAGGTGAAGGCCCTGTGATTGTTTGCAACAAACAAATTTGCTTTCTTGTCACCATTTCATTGAGCACATCAGTGCACCAGCCCTTTCTGTTCATGCGTTCGCTGTGTAGCTCTAGCAAATGGATTCTCAACTCATACAATAATAAGTCAATGTTCTGCCTTGTTTAAAAAGGCTACAATGAACATTATGATCAACAATATTTGCTCTTGTATGCATATATGTATGTATTTCACATTGTTGGGTAAGATTCTGAATCTCTCTCTCTCTGCATTTCTCTGCTTTAGCCTATCAATAAATCAAATAAACAATCAATCAAACCTTTATTACAGACTTAGGGTCCAGATAAAAGACAGACAACTTCTGACATCTTCTGAAGCGTAGCACATGCATAGCTTAAAGTGAACATGTTCAGCTAAAAATGTTAAAGTACTCCGTAAAGAGACTATCTCATAATTTACTATATGTTTCCCTCTTGTGGTGAAAATGAATACTGCAATGTGCAATGTGCGTGAAACGTAACGGTAGATGCCAGCATATACCGTGTGTGTGTATCTGGCGTTTAATTGACGCTAAGGTTTACCCCCAGGTAACGCAGTTTAGGTGGACGGCTAATTCACCAGTAATTGTCTTCATAAGGACCAGAATCCAGATAACTGGATTCTGAATAGGAAAAAAATATATGCTAGTACATTTTCTGGTAGTTGCGTCACAAATTTCCATGATAATAGGATTCTGTGATAATTGTTTAATTTAAATCCTGCAGAAAGCTTATGGGTTCAATTTTCCCAGAAAAAGTTTCTGTAGATAACTTTTGCGTGCTTTTAAAACGGTTAAAAGTCACTCTGAATAAAAGTGCAAATTAACCTAATGAGAATTTTAAAACCACTGGATTCGGCTGTTTCAGCCACGGGCCAGTTTTTCCATCAGTGCTCAATAAGCGGCCAGCATAGTTTAACAGACGCACAATATTGCAGCTAGGCCTATATTATTTAAATAAGTTTTGTTTGAATATAAATTATTTTAAGAATGACTTATTTTTTAAATAAACCATTTCTGTAAATAGTTGTCTACATCAGATAGCTTTTTTGAGATACCATCTTACATTTTTTTAAAAAAGGAAAGGCCAAATATTTTTCTATGCTGGCCGGATCTGGCACGTGGGCCGCCATCTGCCGACCAACGCGGCATAGACCAGCTCCTAGGTTCCCTATTCGACCAAAAAGAATAACTAACCTATGCCGACTGGAATGGATTTAACTCATTCCCTCCTGCCGTGGATAATAAATAATTATCGGTATACTGCAGTCCCAATGACAGCCACACGGCGGAGCTCTGGTGTAAATAGAAGGAAATTTGTAGTCTTTTGTATGTTTTGCGTTTTAATTGCCGATCGTGATAGGTGTATGAAAGTTTGTAGTGAAACTTCGTAAAATCGATGGAATGTGCTGAGTAGTATGCTGCATACTGCCTCCTCATTAATTACTGTGGTGTTCTTTAATGTGTATGCTTTCATTCAAAAACATGTGAGGTATGGCGAATTTACATTGTATTAACACAGAGGATGGGGCAGGTCTGGGCGTCCTCACAGAGGATGGGGCAGGTCTGGGCATCCTCACAGAGGATGGGGCAGGGTTGGGCGTCCTCACAGAGGATGGGGCAGGGCTGGGCGTCCTCAAAGAGGATGGGGCAGGGTTGGGCGTCCTCACAGAGGATGGGGCAGGTCTGGGCGTCCTCACAGAGGATGGAGCAGGGTTGGGCGTCCTCACAGAGGATGGAGCAGGGCTGGGCGTCCTCACAGAGGATGGGGCAGGGCTGGGCGTCCTCACAGAGGATGGGGCAGGGCTGGGCGTCCTCACAGAGGATGGGGCAGGGTTGGGCGTCCTCACAGAGGATGAGGCAGGGTTGGGCGTCCTCACAGAGGTTGGGGCAGGGCTGGGCATCCTCACAGAGGATGGGGCAGGGTTGGGCGTCCTCACAGAGGATGGGGCAGGGCTGGGCGTCCTCACAGAGGATGGGGCAGGGTTGGGCGTCCTCCTAGATCAGGGGTGTCAAACTGCAGTCCTGGAGGGCCGGAGCCCTGTGTAGCTTAGTTCTTTCCCTGTTCCACGACAAATGATTCAGCTCAACTGCTTTCTGGTAATTAGCACAAGAAGTTGAATCAGGTGTGTTAAATGAGGGGAAACCCAAAAATGTGCAGGGCTCTGGCCCCCCAGGACTGGAGTCTGACACCTGTGTCCTGGATGATGGGGCATGGCTGGGTGTCTTCCTACAATAACAATAGTTATAACTATGTAACAGTACATGAAGTACCAACATATACATAGTGTGCAGACTCATGAGTACAATACTACACTGTTAGTTAAGCTACTACACGTTTTTTTTTTTTTTTTTTTTTGTATTCAGCTACAGTGATGACATGGAAATATCTACAAACATTAACAGCTGTTATATAGGTTTCAGGTGGGCTCATAAATTACAATATTCTACGTGGCACTTTAAATAAATGTCATTAGCTGTCTATACAGATAATTAGTTAATATTTACAGTAAAACAGTAGATGCCCGCAATAGCTCTGGCAACAAGTAAACACTGAATGTGAACATGCATTGAACAATATACCATGACCCTGCAGCCCATAATCGCACAGCCATGTAACGTTACACGTTTAAAAATATATATATAGCGTAATTTTCAGTGTGCAGACATAACGTGACCAGTTGTGATATGTTTTAAACTCTTAATATGCAAATTTTAAAAATCACTTCGTACAGCATCATTTCCCGATACGTAGGCTACTCATCATTTCTCCAAGACGCACGACCACCCGAGGAGCACCGCAGATGCACGTGCCGTACGTAATAAAATGACAGATATCAGCAATTAAGATGAGAATAAAGACGTTTTATCAGTTATTATTCTAGTGGTATTCAAAACATATAAAATACGAATAAAGCAGCAAAGCTAAACGCATTTAAACCAAGGAGAAGTAGCAATAAAGCACCCGTCCCTGAGTGGGATCGAACCACCAACCTTTCAGTTAACAGCCGAACGCGCTGGACCGATTGCGCCACAGAGACCTTGGCACACGTCTTTGGCCTTCTTATATGTGGGGCTAAAACCAACGTGTTCAAATTATTGTTCTACTTTTTATGATATTAGCATTTACTGTTGTGATGTGTGCATTGTGAGTGCCATATGTGATACGTAATAAAACATAAAAAAATATTTTTAAAAAATTTATTATGAATAAGACACCCTAACTATAGGATATTTATACAGGCAGTTCTATGAAATGTAGCGTTGGTTTAAATAATAAAAAAAATTTCGTTAACACACATATAATTGCTGCGATGTGGGTTGCTTACACTGCAAACCGCACGGGGCGCTAAGATGTCAGTGAAACGCATCATGCAGACCTTTGACTCTCGGAAGAGGTTCTATATGTTTTCCAGGTACTGAACAATAATGGCCGCAAATTCAACTAGACGTGTTTGAGTGCTACATATATTTCTTAGCATTAAAACCTGCGATGAATATACGCCCGATCTGCTAAGGAGACAGATTCAGATGGGAATAATCTACAGAACAGCGCCGTCACACAGAAAATCCACCGAGTAAGATCTTTGTGTCTACGGCTGCTAAGAGGAGACGTGTGATTTCCCGACATTGCAAAATGACTACATGCCATGCATATTCTTATTTTTCTAATGAAGAAGACCTTCGCCAAGTCGAAGACGCGGTCAAAGAGGCGATCACAGCTGTCATTACGGTTTTTTGCAAATTAAACAATAACAGAATGCGGGAGTATGAAATGAAAGTGGCCGAGAGGGACAAAGAGAACAGCGCACTGAAGATGCAGCTGGAAAGGGCAGAAGACGAGCTCATGGCGCTGCGGCAGCTGAGGATGTCACGGGAGTATGACATTGATGACACTGACAGCGACAGCGACATCGACAGCGACCCACAGGCCGCCTGCTATTCCCGCTTCGGGTCCCCCGCGGAGGGCGAAGGCAGGCAGCGTGCGCGCGGGAGATCAAAGCGCGCCCGCGGGGCTGGGGATCCCCCCTGTGAGCGGCCACTGAAAAGGGAGTTTGCGGGTGAGTTACTCACTAACTTAACGTATAGCGGCACTATAATGCATGTGAATGAAGGTATTCCTTGCAGTTAAACATGATTAATATGATCGAAATAGTAGTTCGCCGTTGTTTTGTTTTGATTTTTGTAACACTAGTCCGACAAGAATGCAGTGACATACATGATACTACGTACGCAGTATATAGGATTATTTAATGTCAGTGATAAATACAGAATTTGTTTCAGTGAGTAATTAGTTATAGTGAAGTACGTTTTTTGGTGGTATGCTATGAGATAGGAACCCCGTGTTATTAACATTAATTAGTAATTCCCCATGAATAGCGTTGATTATTGATTGGTTAGTGCTGGTGTAACTATTTAAAAACAAAGGGTTTGGTTTAATTCGTTTTGGAAAACAAAACACAATGGTCACTGGAGGAAAAGGTACCATGTCTTATATCTTCAGATCCTTGCGAGAGGGCACTTGCCAGGAGAGATACCCGGACTGAAGATGCTGCAACACACAGCCCAAACCTTTCTGTGACTGAGGATGTGGAGCAGCAGGAACTCAGAAATGATGTCTGCGAGGAGCAGGAGAGGAGCCCCAGGCTCTTTACCGGCCCAGAACACCTCCGAATTAAAGAGGAACCTGTCGATTTTGACACTGTTTTTATCAAGTGGGAGGTGAGCGAGGAACATGTTAGGAGGGAAGAGGAGGCGCTGGGGAAGGAACACGAAGCCCACGCAGGACCCACAGCTTGTGTCCCTCTAGCATCGCCCTGTGTTGTCGGGGTCCAAGAAGTCACTTTTGCACAATCGGCTGTCTCTGGAGAAATGACATCAGTGGCTCAGCAAAGTAGGTGTGCTTGAGTTGGTCCAGATGTCTTGGATCAAGGTCGTTAGAGATTCTGAGCCCCATGAAAGCACATCATACCAATCTGATAATGCTCCAGTGTCTTTTAGAGAAACAAGGGGACTTTTGGAATTGTGCTAACTTTCCATCCCTTTAGAGAGTCTCTGAGCGAGCCAACCACGCAACAAAAGAGTTATCTGACAATGCATTTATGGTGAAAACCATATACGTACACAACTAGGCTCAAGGTCTCTAATTTCTTTAATAAAACTTGATAGTTTCGTTTCCCGTACTTATGAGTAGTGAAGCATAACTCTCTTGACTTAAGCACTGCATTCTGTATAGTCATCTAGCTATTTCATAGGATGCATTTGTGGGATTGTATTTCATTATGTATTTCAATGTAATACATGTTATGAAAGTGCAATGATGCTGAATGTTCAGAGCTGTTCTGGCTGGCACTGATTTTGTGATTGGTGCAATTTTAGGGAGGCTGTCAAACAGAGAGAGGCAGCAGAGATACAGAGAGAAAATCCGAGCGGATCCTGAACGGCAGCGAGCTTACAGGGAGAAGGACAGGTGCAGGTATGAGCAGCTCTCGCCGGTTCCCGGGGCGTTCGGCTCACTGCCTGTGTGACAGGACTCAGTGGGTATCATCTTGGGAAAATGCTCAGGGCTCTATGCATGTTGGGCCTGGTAAAGCAGGGTGACAGCTGGTCACATTGCGTTTCGAAGGACAGACATTGGGCACTATTGTAAATCAGCTCAGCGGAGAAAGATTTTTGTGAGTACATTCACTGCTCGAATTAGGACCTCGATATTACTCACATCTGTGTGATGTCCAGGGTTGTGCACCATTCAGAACTGAAATGAGTATGGCCCTGAAATTCCCGAATTCCAAATTGGTTTGTGAATTTGAATTGAATTTGGTTTCAATTCTAGTTTGAATTTAAGGAAGTAGAATTAAAATGGAATTGAATTGCAGATTTTGACAATACAGCTTAATATTTCAATACCGATTACACAGACATGTTAACATACACAACAAACACCGATTGTTATAAAATGTCATGTTATTTAGAGTGAAAGAATTTTGAAGTGTCACCTATAGAATAAATAACTGTCATGTTGTGTACCAATGGTAGAAGAGCAGTTCATTTCCCACAATGCTCTTCCTTATCCCAAAGTCTACAAAATGGAGCCAAACAATCTGAAAGCAGACTCACTCACCAGATGGAAAATTCACACTGCAAACCTACGAAGCTATCCATCCGTGACCATTTCGGTGAACCGTCTCCCACAAACACACCTGGAAATCACAGAGCCGTATGCAAGCACTGCAGCACAGCGGTCTGTGGTTCCATCAAAGCCACTTCCAATTTCAAAAGACATCTACAGGTATGATAACAGACCTATTGCAGTTAGTTTTCCTCTTACGATAAAGTCAGTGTTTAGTATCTTTTTCCTGGTATTTCATGTCATAGACCTACAGTAACTGCATATGTAAAAATGCTTGGTGTTCAAGCTTTTACCTGAATGCTATTCATTTATGGCTCCGTTTGCTTTTGTTCTCTTGATGCTGTTATATGGATGTGCAGATTTGTTATGGCCTTACGTTTTAGTGATTTGCATTTAAGAGTAATTGCTGTAGAAATAAATGCTTATCGTGTGTGCAGTAAAATAATATATACGCTCTATAGTAACTGTCTAATTTATATTCATTAAGAAGTATTTGTACTCTATACATTTTTTTCTAAATGTACAAAATAACAAATATTTATTCTCTTTTTCAGAAGAAACATCCTGAACTTTTGGAAAACCCTGAAAGCAGTGCCTTTGCAGGCTACCTCAACCAGAGCATTTTGGATTCTTCACCTGCTGAAGCTACAAGGTCAAGCTCTAGATGGGATCCAATAGATAGTCAACAGGTTGCTCTGACAGACAGCATTGTGACCCATTGTGAATGGTCTCCTTCCCCTCTATACTGAGGAAAATAAGGATTTTGTTATGGTTTTGCAGCTGGCTGAACTGTTCTTCACAATGCCCTCTTGGAGAGACCTCGCCTAGAACCTACTTCCTGAGCACACCAGGCTTGTAAAAGAAATAATTTAATTAATCAGATCCAAGACACTTATATTTGCCTGTCAGAGGATCTATGAGGATCTATGGTCAAATCAATCTATGCCATCATTTTTTGGCATGACCGGTCATTTAACAGTTTGCATTGTAGAATGTAATGTTGAGTTGCCAGCGATTCAACAGGAGACATACTGTACAGTATGGTAGAGATGTATGAGAGTAACCGCTTAAGACATTAAGAGCTTAATATCATTCTCTGCAAAAGGCATTTACCCTCTTGCCACATGTGACTGGTGTTGATAGTGAAGAGGACAAACAGTATGACACATCTGCTTTTCATGTGATGAACACTGATGAGGAGATGATATGCTCCTCTCCAGAAAGAAGTACATGTCTTGTCCAGAAATTCCGACTTGTGGTTTGTGATGCCCTGGATGTAGCTGGCTCTCTTAAAAACGTGTCCTTGTGCCATGAGTCTACACTGACTACTGAGATTCTAGGAGGTCACAGACTTCAATCTGCAAGTGCCCGCAGCTGGCAGAGCCCATTGAAGATGCTGATGTTGGTCCTTAACACTCCAACTGCTGTGGTTCCTCAGCTTCAGTGCCCTATTGAACTCTCATCCAACATAAAATCACCCGAGAACTATGTGTGGCCCTAGAGCCTTTTGAGGAGGTAACAGAAAGGTGGCTGGTAGAGAATCTGGTAACTTCCAGCTTGGTGATTCCAAGTGTTTGAAGATTAAGGCATGCAGTCAGAATAGTCATGAAGATGACTAGCAGCAACAACCGTCCATTCTCCAGAGCTTGGTTGAGAAGCGTCTTGCAAAATATGAAGACATGCTATTCTTCCAGGTGGCTTCCAATCTTGACCTAAGATTCACGTTGGATTTGTGTATTGGTGAAGAGGTTAAACCATAAAGGATTTTCTCACAGGACAAAAAGAGTGTCTTCCCCCAAAACTGACTGCAGTGCCCAAATAAAGAAACTTCACAAACTCTTTTGTGCATGGAAAGTCAGACTAGTCCCTCACCTGTCACAAACGCTTCACATGATGTCATTATATGCCTGAGTCAACCATGTTCAGCGGAGGATGTAAACCCTTTGGAAAGGAAACAGCCAGCTCTCCTGAGCCAGCTCTCCTGAGCCTGCACAACTTACCTACAAATACTTCGCTATCCCAGCTTCCTCTGTACCTGCTGAGAGAATCTTCAGTGTAGCAAGAAAAAAAAATCAGGCCAGAATGTTGCAGTCTAAAGGATAAAACCTCTGAAGATCTTCTGCTAATTAAATGTAACCATATTGAACTATGAGTCGTGTGTATTGGAATTAAGCATAACTGCATTTGATGTTTTGATGCTTTTTGCTATAACACTATGATTGGCCTTGCAGACAAAACTTACTGTTCTGCACAAAAGAAAATAAATAGGAGCGACTACATAAAATTAATTATTTTTTTGCCATGTAAACATTCATTTGCTTTTAATGTTTAAAAAAATAAACAAACTGTTAATCAGCAAACCGTAACAAAAAAGACAATACATTTGTCGTGACTAAAATGCTACAGGTATGTGGGGTTACAGTGATGCAAGTAACTCTTTCACCACCTCATCCCTCTGATAACCTGTGGAAACCGTCAGGAAAAGCTACCGTAGGCTTGTCGAATCTGCCAATGGACATGAACAGTTAAATATACAAAAATAAAAAAATATGCGCCCATGGAAAAGAACTTAGAGGACGCAGAGGAATATTGATAGAATAGACTAAAAGTTACCGCATTTTTTCTCTAATAATCATGCGAATATATAGTACACTTTAAACACAAGCTCAGTATATACATCTACAATCTAGCAAGTGTGTTATGTATTTATGTTTTGCTAAATTAAATTACATCACTGTTGTGATTGCACGGAATGTCTTTGAGATTAATTTTTTCTTCCTGTCTTTCCAAGTCGACATTCTTGGGGGGGTGTGGCCAATTCAATTCAAATTCATTTGATGAATGGAATGGGGCCCAATTCATGAATTCTGTATTCTGCACAACCTCGGTGATGTCGTGTTTGTTTGCCACTGCAGCGCCATAATCCGTGCTAATTACTAACCTTTGCAGATACCAGAAGAGGAAAAAGCTAATCTGTGACCTGCCAGAGCAAAGTCAGAAGCTCAAACGGCAAGCCTGGAGGGAGGCGGCCAGACGTCACCGCGCCCGCAAAAAGTCCTTTCTCCAGATGACCCAATTAACACGTTTACAAAACACTGCGACGGCTTTGAATTCAGCGGCTCCCCTGAGGACTGCACTGAAACACCCAAGCTAGCAGCCACACAGTCCATCCAAGGGTTAAGGGGTGGAGAAGGGGATTGGGCAGTGGGATCCAAGCATACCTCTCCATCCATCCACCTTGCATAACTGCTTATCTGGCATGAGATCGTGAACCTGAATCTTATCCCTGGAAGCATAGTGCATGAGGCAAGGGAATGGCCTGGCTGCGATTGAAGTGCATCGTACACACACCCACACAGTCCTGGGGAGAACCTGCAAACTCCACCCACACACAGTGCCAGAGGCAAGCGGGGGGGGGGGGGCAAATCCCTAGCCCTGGAATTGTGAGACTGCAGTGTCACCCACTGAGCCACCGTGCTACTCGCCGTGTTTGTTCCTGAGATGGTGCTTTAGTCTTTATCACAGCAGCCGTGAAATGTTATTCTTTCCTGAAAGATTAACTTAAAAATTCCTCATAGCTGAATGTCGATTCATTTCTATCACACTGGTCTTATCACAAGGCATTTTGGATCAAAATGCCATTAATTCAGTGGACACTAGATTTTAAATAATAGTCGTATGATATATAAATCTGACAGAGTGTTATGTGCATAACATTGGGATCATCTCTTGAGAAACTGCTGTAACTCTGAAGCATTTCCCCTAACCCAGGTTGGCCCATTTGGGTCTTTGTACGCACAAGGTCCTGATATTGTTTCTGTGATGTCATTGTTTTAATCAATTAAAAAGTAGGTTGTGTGATGACATGAGCCTTGGATACAGATCATTTACCCCTCATGACCTGAATCTTACACATTTTATTACATAACGTGTAGGGTGACCGCAGTAAACATTAATTTCAAGTGGTAATTGAAACCCAAATTGTTCTAAAAGAGCTATTCTAAGATTTAAAAAAAAAAACGTTTATTGAGAAGCAGTCACATTGGGTGCTTTTTAAATTAGCAACATCTTTGCAATAACGTAAGACATCAAGCATTTGTGATTAGTATCCCTTTGGGAGCCAGTCACTACAAATGCTATTAATAGGAAAATGGCAAGATCAGAAGATCAGCACTTTCTGTGAACACTGTATATGGTAAACCGCTGCACCGCCCAAACCTAGCCAGTACCCTCCATCTCAAACCGACAGACTAATATTACTGTAAGTACTTTGTTTCTTTTGTGGGAATTAATAGTCTGTTTATAATTACGACACTATGTATGACAATCGATAAATTGTTATAAAGTTATCTAAGATCGTAGTTTAGACTGTCCAGTTATGCACCCAGCACAAACAAGCGTATTTAACCATAATTCATTGAGATAAAGTAAATCAATATCGCTTTCTAAGATGGCGGATTGATGTTGATATTTTACATCTGCTCCGCATTTCTTGTATATTATAAGTGTTTGCCCTTCCCTCGATCCTTACATCTTCTTTAGTAAACTGAACCTGACACATGGTCAGCCGCCGCGCTGATTGAGTTCGTTTCCTTATTTCACTCTCTTGACAAAAATGTATTCCCACATCTTTTCTATCTTTGTCTCTTGCCCAGTAAGACAATTCTCTGTTTTCATTCCATCGTCGCGTCGTTATGTTGCCGTGGGAGTTACACAAACGTCTATAAATGAATAGCTTTATTGTACAAAAATACAATAAGGCGCTTATGACATCCTCTCTTGTGATTATGCTATGCAAACCTTCTACATAGGAAAAGAAATCGTTTCTATAAACATTTTCTGCACAATTCAAAGTCGATTTAAACACCCGTGTCATCATTTATCTAGGGAGTATATATTTGGGAGTACCGTACGTGTGTTTAGGTGGTGGTGGTTTCGGGGTAGGATTTAGTCCATAACAGTGTTAGAACCAAACCTACGCAATTATCATTTATGGATGTTTTTTAAAAGCTTTCTTTGGACTGTCGAGTATTCATAATAAAATATAGCACCTACAATTGCAATTGTTTTCTCATGTATCTGTACACGTGATGAGTCGCAACCCGTGTAGCCGGATGTTCAGTTATATTGACTTAACTAGGCTATGTACAATTCGAGTGCATGAATTCCCAATGTCAAGGATATTTAATTATTTTAAATCCGTGTTACAGTTTTCTCATTTAGTGCAATTCTTACTTCAAACATTAAACAGCCTTATTCCACACTTTGAAAACAAAGAACACGTTTAATCCTGTTTTCCAACGGTCCATTACAAACTGCCTGCTCTTCCCTACTATAAGCACGGGAAAGGCAGTATATCCTACTCATACACCTTTTCTGCCAAAACATAATTTCGCTCGACTTAGTATTACATTGAAATACAAAGGGAACCCGAGCCTAGTTGCCGTAGGGGCCAGTTGTTTCACGGCAGACTGGGGGTTGTAGATAGTGAAAATTGATGCCAAAAGGCACATATGTCTCGTCACCAGATCTTTTTTGTCAGACAGCATCCTGAGATAACTTGATAGCTTGCCATTTTAACCAATGTAATATTTTGATGAACTTTTTTATATCCAATATCGGGATATTTTTTGGTAGACTCCAACTTAGTTATAGCATGCTGCATATGAAATTTCATTTTGTCTTACCTATAATTTTTTCAATTAATGACATTCTGATATCTTTCCAAACTGAAAATCAAAAACCCAGTATGAAAATCGGCCGGACATACAAACTCTATACAGCCGAGAGGGCATTTTTGTGCTTGATGTACCTACAAAACGACTTCTGTAGAGCTATTACCTTCTTCTCACAAACGATTATACAAAAATACCAGTTCCTTATTCTCCATTATACTGTATTAACCACAGTATTGCTGTACTTACTAAAGTGTCCCTGGAATAGTCACATGGTTATAGTCCCACTTAATTCTCGCTTCCATTCACAGATTTTCCATTGAAAGAAGCAACGCGGAGACCTTTTATTTCAAATCATTGCTGGCAGCCTCCTAAAACGAAGGTCTGACCTTTTATAAAGTGACTATATATAGTTTAAATGCTTATTGTTAGGACAATTAGAAAGATACAAAGATTTGTTTTAGACACATCAAAGTATCTTAATCTTCTACTTCTTCTTCATGGCCACTTTTATTTCTTAATTTGAAATGTAGAATAGCTGGTCCTTGTAACATTGTGTAAACATCTGTGCTTCCCCACCACGACAAAGGACACAAACAGCGCAAGTTTATCAATTGTTTTACTTCCTTCCGATGCATGCTCCCTTTTAACGAGAATAGTTTCCTTGCTCTTCTCCAGTTTATATATTTTGCTCCCAGACAGCGGACACAGAGGATTGTCTTCAAATCACGGTATGCTGTTTTTTCATGTTCTGGAAGAGAAAAATAGAGTGTTAGATGCTGACGTCATTTCAGATATCAGGACAGTGACTATACATGTTGATGAAGGAAACGGTAAGTAACAGAAGAAAAGCTTGAAATTACCAGTCACTTTTGAATTTAATTCTTATGCTTGCCACCTGTTTATGTTAGACATAAACTGGACCGATTTAGTGTTACAGTATCATGAGTATGTTATAATGTCCATAGTCCCTGTCATTTTCATTATCTTCATTATTGTCAATATGTTTAGTGCAATTTTTTTTATATATGTAACAAGAACGTGTTCGTTTTTCCTTTTCTTAAATTTTCTGCATTTTACAGTGGTCATATGCTTTGGATAAAAAAAAAAAACAATTTTAGTCAGTCATCTTTCAGTCAGGTTTGCGGTAAACAACATCCAGCAACTCGAGCGTATTTGAAAGCAACACTTACGCGATATCCCTACATTTTTAATGCAAATTGCTCGCAGTGCTTGTCAGTGTATGGTGAGTGTTAGCCTACCAACTGGCGTCTTCCAGTTCGTGTCAGATTGCTGCAGCTGCTTTTGTTAAATCCTGAATAAGCCTCGTTATATAGCAGCCATGCAGTAGTGCGTGACACGCCCGCAGCCACCGAGATGTAGACGGACCCCCACACAGAGCTGTCAGCTCGGTCACAGAGCTTAATTTTCGAAACGAAAATTAAAATATATTTTCATATGGATATATGATAAACGCTCTGCTTATCAGGTATAGCCTACAGGTAATATATGACGTCACAATCGCGGGAGGGGCCCCGCCTCATGGCCGCGGGGCCCTCAAAGATGTCTGATACGCCGTTGATTGCAGCACGTTTCTGGTAAGCGGTTTTGATTTCTTTCAGCGTGCGTTATATTATTATTTCAAATGTTTTTAGTTCTACTGAATGTCACAGTACGCACATATTGTATGTTTGTTGTAGCGTGGGAATTCCGACTCTTTTGAGTCAGCAAGATAATTTGGCTTAGCTCAGTAATAACCCGTTAACAATTTTTTGTTCTAGAAGCGTTTGCCGAACGTTACTAAGGTATGGAAATGTCCAAAAGTACAGTTTTCCTGATGTTACTGGAAGATTATTATACTACTATACAACTAAGACTCATAAAATACAGCCGATAGCAGGTAACACTGTCCCTTCACACTAAGAAGGTCATGGGTTGGAAACTGGAATGTGCATTGGCAGTATGTGTATATAGCATTTATATAAAATAGTATTTTATTGTAAAACAATATTTTTAAACATTAATTGTGTTTATAAGATATTCAGGTAATGTTATTGTGCTGACACTGACAGATCGAACCTTTGTTAAAATGTAAAATGTGCCAGTAATGTTGGATTAACGTTACAGTAAGAAGATTCTCTGCCAACTTTGAGAAGACTTTCACGTAACATTGGCTAAAATTCGGGGAATATTCCCTGTTAGCTGGGAAGAGTCGGCTCTTTTGGTTCCCAAATGGCTCTTCATTTAATACCACTTCTGGCTTTTATAATTCAACCAAATTAACATTTTTTGACCTATGCCTGGTGTGTGCGTACACATGCATCACTTAGATTTTGCAGTGTAATTATCCTTATTCTATTTTTGAATGATCATCCTATTATTCTGACATAAATAACAGAAACATCAGCTCTTAGACTGGAGCCGGATCCCCAGGTCGACGTAAAGGATGCGACTCGCAGAGCTGACTCCTTCGTGACATAGGCCTCCACAGAGCTGATTCCTTCGTGACATAGGCCTCCACAAAGCTGACTCCTTCGTGACATAGGCCTCCACAGAGCTGACTCCTTCGTGACATAGGCCTCCACAGAGCTGACTCCTTCGTGACATAGGCCTCCACAGAGCTGACTCCTTTGTGAGATAGGCCTCCACAGAGCTGACTCCTTCGTGACATAGGCCTCCACAGTGCTGACTCCTTCGTGACGTAGGCCTCTACAGAGCTGACTCCTTTGTGAGATAGGCCTCCACAGTGCTGACTCCTTCGTGACGTAGGCCTCCACAGAGCTGACTCCTTTGTGAGATAGGCCTCCACAGTGCTGACTCCTTCGTGATGTAGGCCTCCAGAGAGCTGACTCCTTTGTGAGATAGGCCTCCACAGAGCTGCTTTGTTGTGCTGGGAGATTCTTAAACTAAGGTTATTCTTTCTTTCTATTGTGAGTCCAACAACTAAATTGATGGCTATTCCTCCACAAGTAAATCAATTGACAATTCAGACTAGGTTTGAGTAGAAACGGACACCAAACTAGCTGGTATAGTGATTTACGCTTAAGTAGGTTGTAAACACTGGATTTTCATTGTTAGTAGTGCAGAAGGGTGATGGCCCATTGTCAGTGGGCAAAATTTACTTTGGGGGACCTGAAAGTCCAGGGCTGAATTTCAGTTGCAGTCCAGCCCTGTTAATGCTGCTCATAGTCTTGTTTAATTATCCTGGACAATATTCTATTCTATTCTCCGTTTTATTTTGTATTGTATTATATTCAAGCATATATTATCTGCAATCTCTTCTTCAGCACAGAGCTCATGTCCCCATTCTGAAACCTTTCTCATTCAGAGTGTATTTTATGTTGAGATAAGGAGGATTCTTAACAAACTTAACTCCTAGGGTACCCACAGTTTATACAGTAATGTATTTCTATTAAGCAAATTTATTGAGATATTGATTAGGCATAAATTAATTTATATTTATATATAAATATTTTTTGAAAAAGACAAGTAATACATGAACAGTATTGTTCTACTGTATCTTGTATATTCTGTCATGCTTTATGTTCAGCACGATCTTTCCCGTATTTGCCTAACTTATAGCTAAGCTAAATGTCAATGACAGTTAATATTTAAAATACAAAAGATTGTTACTGACTTTAACTGAAATTATTTAATGTAACTAAAAGGTGAAATGTATCACATGCTACTGCTGAAAACGTCCCCTATACATCCTCAGTGTTACAGAGGTGCTTACAGGCTGTTTGGATGCACTTATTCGTGTCTGCAGTGGAGAGATATAAATACGGCTCTTTCATATGGGAAATTAATCAGCAATATTTCTACTGATTTATTTTACACTGGTCCATTTATATCATGTCCCTGACAGCCTCTGGAAGGTATTCTGGGCTGCTCAGCCTAGCACTGTGACTTGACAGATGCATAAAGGTCTATTGAGTCAACTCTAGGTCCCCGGCTGGTCTCCTAGTGACAGCTGGCTCTCCCAGTTGCTTTCCTAGCTGCTGAAAAGTACCAAAGATTGAAAACTGTGAGGGGGTGGATGGCTGGGGGCTGAGGAAGGGTCTGTCAGTGCAGGGTCAATGACATGTCATTAGAAAGAAGCTTGTAGTTGCCTGCATAACTACATGTGCAAACAGGCCACCTTTGAGCAGCCAGGGCACAAAACTACAGTGTAGAAATGGTACAGTCCAATATGATCACCCCTATACACTGAACATACTTGGAAGTGTCCCTTTGCAGGGATTGCTGGGAAGAAGAAGAGGAATACGGGGTTGGGAATTTGGAAAGGAAAAGGAAGAAGGGGGACTCTAAAAAGGGTAAGGATTGCTATGATCCTCAATAGCCAAGGTGCCTGCATATGGATGTGGACATTGTAAGGGTGTTTGGGTCATATTCCTGGATATTGAAAGGTTTTTTTTCAGGTGTATAGAACAGTCTGGTCAGTTGAAGAGAGTGGAGGGAGGAGTTGTTGCTTTGCATAAACAAGGAAATGGGTACGGATAGGGGGAGACATAGCAGGAAGAAAAGGCAGCTTGATGGCTATTATGAGTGTATAAACAGCAGATGTCTGCTTGATTGCATACTCACATTGTTAGGGAAACTCAGCAAACTCGTATAGTTGTACTTTGACTGTTATTTTCTATTTGGTCTTGATCTCATAACTTATCTCCAGGGCTAGTGACCAATCTAACAGGCACAGACTTTACCCTGTAAAGAATGAGAGAGGAAAAATAGATTGGCAAATAAAACAGTGCAAATCGTTAATAATTAGCAACAAACTTTAAAATGTTCTTGTCTAGAGATTATGTGGGCAGCCTATTATTAATATTTCATCAGGTTTCCCTCAGTTGCTAGTATACAGATATTTTCAAAATGGCCGCTGCTGCCTTACTTCCTGATTCTTCTGTTGTTCAAATGCCTTCTTCTGTTTCTCAGCACTATTTTCACAAAGCTAGAGGTATAAAAGTGCTTAAAAGTAGTTTAAAATTGTATAAATAAAATGCTGTTTATTTACTGGTAAGGGGGGGGGTGTTAGCAATGGGCCTAGCCTAACTGCCGTGTTGCAGTGTGTGCTGTGTTCCATCTGTTGGAGTTCAGTTGTGGCAGTGATCAGTTAGAATCGGTTAGGGAGCAGACGTTAGTGTCCCTGCTGTGTGAAACAGGACAGGTGAGCGTTTGTAACATTTACAGTTAGTTAAAAGCAGGTTAGCATACGTGCTTCTCTGCTCTTTAAGTTAAAAGTGAAATAGCTCTCTGAGAAACACATCTACACATCATATATATTTGACGCTGTAATATTATAAGAACATTTTATATACTTCATGTGTTCATTTATGTGCTGTATACCTGAGTGTAAAGAGTTCACCTAACTGGCATTTAGTCACCTAATTTTTTTGAGACAATTTAACAGATCATTTCTGTTATTGTTTAATTTGATAAAACATATATTTAATTTAACATAAATTTGCATAACAATTTAAATTAATGAACCCTTTAATCAATGTTGCTCAGACACACGACTTGTTCTTCTTGATTTTTGCAAACAAAAGAGGAAAAAATGCAAGGAAAAAATTATATTATAATAGACCCATGCGGATTACCGAACAGCTCGAATATTCAAAAGGCAATTAATTCATTTATTATTGTCAATTGATAATAAACCAATGAATATTTTGTGGAGATTAAAGGGTTAATTTCATGCAGACATGATGCTGTATTGCTGCTGCATTGCTTTATCCATTCTGTGAAATAAATTAAATGTAACTTAAACTATAACAAAAGACAGTTGGGCCATGCTGTGTATTACCTGATAAAATACAAAAAGGGTTAAAATCAACATCTGCATGGCAATTAAATTTCTGTATTAATATAGCCCGACTATCACTTCAACAGAAATTAAAATCAAAATTGCAGGAATGGAAGGAGTAAGTCATATTAAAAGCCCTGTGAGCTGCATGAGAGCATGAGGCAATACAGAGCAAGTTAGAGTTAATTCTGTGCTGCACTAGAGCTATCCTTCCTCCCGTGGTCCTGAACTCACAGACGTCACTGACTGGACTGTTGTGCTGCCACTGCACTGCTGAGACTCAGGGCTCGTGCAGGAAAGTCACAGGAAAAAGGTCACGGATGTTACAAGCTTCACTTTCATACACTTTTCATTCAGTATGGAACTGAAAACAGGCTAAACAGTTTGCTAACCCTTTGTCACATGCTTTCAGTTTGTAATCACTTTAAACTTCTATCATATTCCCCTACTGCCTTTCACACGAGGATACCGCCCTTTAAACACCCTGTTCTGTGCCTTATTATTATGCCTGTCTGCACAAATTATGCTGTGCCTGTTTATGAATTTCTGTTTTGAATTCAATAGGTAATTCAATCTGTAAAGCAAAAGTTAAACTTTTTTTTAATGACAGCTGACTTCCTACAGAGTAGCACATTAATTCATTACAAAGAGCAAACTGTTTTTTTTGTCTGCATATATACATATATTTACTCTGTGTAATGTGCACTTTTTGTTATAATGTGGCAACTTTGCGCAGTAATCAGAGCCAGTAAGTTGCTGTAAGTGCTTTCGGTTCCTCAGCAGAGTAGCTTTCCTTAGCTTTAACTTTAAGTCCCGCCCCCTGCCTGCTTGCCTGTGTCCTGCCGCTGTGCCACATACCTTTCTTCTCCTTCTCTAGATTGTTGTTGTCCCTGTAGCTCTGTGGCTCCCCTAGCTGCTGAAAGGCTGAGCTAAAAACATTGCTTTTTTTTAAGAAGAGTCTGAACAGAAATAATGACAACTGAAGGCTTATCTTAAGCATTTGTCTTTTGTATCAGTTCTGCTGTGGACAGCAGCTGAAGGGAGTGAGCAAACAGTCTCATGTTCATGTTACTGCAGCTCAGGTCTGTGGGAAGCTTTACTGTCCCAGAATTCCTGCTAAGGCAGCTGAGCCCAAGAATTTCTGTGGTAAAGTCCCATGAATCATTGCTCTCCTCTATCCATTCAAGAACTTCAGTAGGCAGTTCAGTAGGAGGAAGTTCGTTCTTTTTCTCTCTGTAAACAGCCCTCCCCTTCCTGCTAAAATCCTACTCTGCGTAGGGATTACCAGAGGAGTTGGGAATTATACTACTGTGGGGTAACAGGCTTTACTAAAACAGTCCTGTCGGAAATCAAGCTGTGTCTCTTGTGGATCAGTAATGTAATGAAGGCTAATGAGATGCTTTTTCCCTCATATACAGAAAAGACACTTTATAAATCAGATATAAGGCTGTTACCATTTACTGTAAATGTGTTGATTACTTTTTTTCCTCCACACTTATATTTACTCAAAATTTAATAGTCCCTCATAGTCGTATGTATACATAAATGGAGTGTTTTAAGGTAATTATTGTTATATTGACAATAATATTGTCGTATTGACATGTTATTCTGATTATTATCATTAAAAATTAAAAAATAAAACAAACTTTTGCTGTATATTGTTAATTTAAATGATCTATCATGTAGCTAATATTTATCATAAGCTATTTTGGTGTTAATAAGGAAAATATTTGTATGACATTCAAAAGCTCAATTATTCAGTACTATACAACTAGTATTGTTGTATTTTTTTTAGATCTACATTCTATTTGATCACACTCAGCTGTTCATAAGATCATCTAAGTCAGTCCTGCCTAGTTATACAGCTATTTAAATGCCAGATTTTAAGTGTCTATCAGACTAATGTAGAATTAACAGATTCGCATTGAGTGTAAATTTGGCTTTAATTTAAAATGTCAAAGATTCTTAAAGCAAATGGCATTCAATAACAAGCATTTCAAAAAGCTGCTGTAGATTTAACCCTCATGTTTGTCAAGGGGCCTCACACGCTGTGCTTGTGCCCTCCTTCGTATGTCCTCCTCTGTATGTCCTCCCTGTATGTCTTCCCTGTATGTCCTCCCCTGTATGTCCTCCCCTGTATGTCCTCCCCTGTATGTCCTCCTCTGTATGTCCTCCTCTGTATGTCCTCCCCTGTATGTCCTCCTCTGTATGTCCTCCTCTGTATGTCCTCCTCTGTATGTCCTCTCCTGTATGTCCTCCCCTGTATGTCCTCCCCTGTATGTCCTCCTCTGTATGTCCTCCCTGTATGTCCTCCTCTCAATGTCCTCCTCTGTTCTTGCATCTACACAGTAGTCCTTAGGCTGTCAGCATTGAAATATTCTGAAATGTAAGATAATCCCAGGGTCTGGACAGATGGACATTCACATCTACTGGCAGACTGCCTGACACCTGTTGAGCAACTGCCTTGTTTCCCTGACAGTCGCTGTGTCCAGGCTTCCAGCTGCCTCAAAGACTGTTGTCCTTCAACTAAACAAAAGTGTTCTTTCGTCTTAAGCTCTAGGTCCTGTGTGACCAGGCATCTCTTTTATATTTATATAATGTACATAGTCGTTGAGACGATGATATTTAGTTGTTTAAGAAACCATCTGCCATGGAGAGTCACTGGCACCATTAAAAGCAGATGCCAGCAAGTTGTAGCAAAACAGCTGCGTGTCGCTGAACAGCTGCATGCATCTCCGGAGCCAGACAGACCAACTGAGTGTTTCACATACGGCACGAAAAATAGTGAGAAGCAAACTTCATGAACACAGAAGACTGCACTGGAGCTGAACTGGAGTGGAACCTAAGAAAGGTAAGCTAACAAAACTGCAAATTAAAATAGCCAGTATGCATAGCTATCCCTCAGATGACTGTCTTCTTAACTTCATATAAATTTAAATATTTGATAATCGATTATTTATAAATTATATGTAGAAATGCTGGGAAAGGCTTTTTGTTTTCCTGCACAAGACGTTGTGAAAATAACAATATTGTTTAATGTAAAGCCATTACAACACAAATTGGATTTAGTTTATGGTGTGGTCATTCCACTTTAATTCAACAAATTTCCAAAAAAGATTTTGAATTACCATTTTTGATTTATATGAAATTTGGCATACGAATTATGCATACCTTCCAGAGCTTAGAAATGTTTTTTTGTTCATTTATTTTAAAATTTTCCTCTTGAGATATAGTGCCTTTTCTTCACCATGGGTCGCAAAAAAATTGATAATTCAGAGTATTTTTTATGGGCTGTAACTTTCTGTGTTCTTATTTTAGCTACATAGCTCAGCTATAGCTCATTACAAAAGCCCTTTTCATAACATGGTGTTCAACTTTTGCACAAGTCCAAAAATGGTAATGCAAAGGGCATTTGTTGAATTAAAATAGAATCACCCATTGTACATATAAATCACTGCCTTACATTTTTCACAAAGTATGATTTGCGTGCTTTTTATCAGCACAGGATAGAAATTGTTTAACTTAAACCATCTGCAATATAAATTAAGTATAGTCAGATTTTTTTCCTTTATGTTTTGATTTGAAATTTAAATTAAGGGCATCTCTCTTTTTTCCAGTCATACTGTGAAATCGAAGACCAGTTATACAAAGAGTTATGGCTGACAACAAACAACTTGGGAAGCCTGTCTCGTCCTTCAGAAATGATCTCCTCACCCATGTCACACGCCACGTGGGAGCGGCCCAAAGAAACCCCATAAAAAAGCTGGATGGTTTGTTCCAGAAGATGCAAGACATGCTGGACAGCTCCTCGGCGGACAATGAAAAGATTTTGCGGGATGTCCGCTTCAAGGAGGTCTGTAAGATCCTCTACAAATACGAGGGGAACATAAAGTACCAGTTCAGTGCCTTCATAAGCCTGATGGAGCAGATGCAGAAGACCCCCAGCGACGCCTGGAGACACATGGATATTTTTAAGGACACTTACGAGAGAAACAAGAGTGACCTGAGTCTGGATGTCTACTACCGATGCGTGATGGAGACCGGGACTGGGCTGTTCGGCAGGCCACTGCTGAAGGTCTACTCTGATCACTGCGGTGGCAGCCGCGAGGCGATGGAGCTGATGTGCTCCTATCTCACCAACGTTCTTCTCATGGGTTTCACTGCACACCTGGCCTACACAGCCATCACTGAGGACAGCAGAGAAGAGTTCAAGGAAAAATGGAGCGCACGGCTGAAAAGCATCAAAGTCCAGATGCAAGGTGCCCTGAGTCAGTGCAAGGATAACTAACCCTATTCCATTAAGAGCAGGATGAACGGAAACATCTGCAAAGCACTGTCAGTTTGATAAGTAATACCAGGCTAATTCAGTCTGGAAGCTGTTTTTGCCATTTATTATATTGTGCTACGGCCTACTGTCATAATGTATGAATTATATATAGTATGGCCACATGTGATGTTTAACATGATGTCATTGCGCTCTGACCCTCTTGTAGTACATTGAAAGTCTATATTTTGCATCCGTTAAAAAAACGAAAACTGTTCACAAACTTGGATCTACTCATATTGTTTTGAAATAAAATTTTAAAAATTGAATGTTTTCCTTAATTTAAGTCTACAGTAGTGACCAACCAACGTTAACGTATTTTACTATTGATGATATTGATTGATTAAATATCCGTAGTCATCAAATAGTTGTTAATGAGCTTTAATGTCTTGAGTTTCTTAAATTTAATTTTACTATTTAAAATGTTACTGGACAAAAGTATCAGCAATTATTCTGCAATTTAAACCAGAATATAACAGGCATCTTCTAACGTCACGGTGTTACTGTACAGCAGGCAGAGTGATACCGCAGCTGTTCTGCCACTGTGGCCCTGGCTTTCACCTTTGTAATTAGGGAGTGGGATAATGAGAGGCGTCATGGTGGCACAGCAGCTGGGACTCGCTGCCCTGATAAGTGAAGGGGGAGGGGGAGGGGGGGGGAGAGCTGGAAGGGCGAGAGGTTACATTCACAGGGTGGGCTGGCAGGGGTCTCATAGTGTTTTTGTTACTTTGTTTCCTTGCCATGCTTCGAAGCCGCCGTGCCCACTGACTTCGACCATCCTGGCAACAGAATGTTTCCCGGTGCATCACATAATAACGCAACTCTGTACGTTTGCTTGTTACGTGTTTTTCTGCCTGCACATTAGATTAACTTTTTCTACCAAAAGACCTTCTCTCCTACATACGACATGATTCCCGGTATTGGCCAGACGGAGTGCGCAGTGATAGCGGGTTGTAAAGCGTATTTCTTTAAATGTGATCACAGGCCTGAATCCTTCGTTCTGTTTCCCTAACACAGATCACTGTGAATCTGAAAGAGGGCACTGCATCAACCTCACTGCATTGCTGTCATGGCTGACATCCAGGAGGACAGAGACAAGTTGAAGAAGGGGCTGGTGACGGTGCTAAGGTGTGTGTCCTCTATCTCTTCGGCCGCTGCCGTGGTCAACCCCATCTTCGGGGTGGCGGGCTCCCTCATCCGGGTCGTGCTGAACCACGTGGACGACGAAGACATCAACAAGCTGAAGCAGGAGTTCAGAAGCGTCAACAGGGCTTTGGACAATATCTCCCAGCAGAACCGCAGTGCCCTGCTGCAGATCAGAAAAACCACGTTGGACAACCAATATGGCCAAGTGGAGGAGAACCTGAAGGAGCAGTTCCGTGTGTTCATGGAGCTCGTGGAAGCTCGGCCCGGGATCAAGGAGCGCAAGAAGGATGACTTCGAAGAGTGCTACGCCAACAACCTGGGCGACCAGAACCTGCACACGCTGTATGACGGCGTGATGGGGAAGCGTAAGCTCTTCAGCAAGCCCATCCTAGACGTGTACCTGGATCACTCCCAGCGGGATCGCCAGGTGATGGAGCGCCTCTGTACCCGTCTCACCTATCTCTTCTGCATCGGCCTCATCGCCTTCATGGGCTATACTGCCATCATTGGTGATGACGAGGAAACCCTGAGTGAGGAATGGGGTAGCAGGATGATGGAGGTTCAGATGAAGATGCAGGAGGTCCTAATGAGGTGCAACTGATTCCCCTCTCTCAACCCCCCCCAACCCCTGATGCAAATATATGTGACACACATGTTCCTCTGGCAGTTTCCGGTCCTCACCCACTATCCTTCACAGAGATTATAAAACATGAATCACATGAAACAGAGCAGCTGCTGTACATTCTCAGCAAATATATATGTAAAGAAATGGTCTCACAATTCCATTGTGCCCCCCCCTACTGCATTTCCTATTAATTTTCCATGGAAAATCTTTGAATGGACTGATATTACTTTAAATAATAAAAGAATTACAAGTATTTCAAACAGCCAACTATAGTACAGGTGGAGTATGTTAAGTAAATTCTTCAAAAACAAGTATAGTCAAAATATATTATTGTTACCAAAAACAAAAAGAAACATCAAGCCATCAAGACATAAAAATTGCGTAAATATGTAGCATGGAACTGCTTCTTTACATAAAGACATAACTGCTGTCACCGTTTTTAAGGAGATTTAAAATGAGTTAGAACGATGGCACCTCCTGCTTCTCCTGTCTCACCGTAACAGAAATACTCAGCTCTAATCTTCCAATTTTAGAGAGTCACCCTCTCCATGCATCATGCATAACCAACATCATGCATGCATAAAAGTAACAGAAAGGCGGTCTTTATATTCTTGTTCTGTTACATTCTGCTTTATCTCATTTAGCTAAACCCTTCTTCCTTATTATTCCTTATTATCGTTAAGGAAAACAATCAATAAGTAAACATTTTCACAAACTGAAATAAGTAATAGATACAAAAATAAGAAAACTACAATTAAATGGACACTGTAAATATTGCTCCTTAAACTAACTGAAATAAAATTAAAACAAGCATGAAACACTTTCCATTTCAGTTTTCACACTATTTTGCTATAGAAATGATTTGTTTATCTTTAAGTACCATTGATAATGCTTCTGGAACATTAGTACATAATGTGTACTGTGTTCATGAAAGATTCGATAAAGATCAGACACACAAAATTCCCCTTCAACTTTCCCTAGAAATAAAATTACTAAAACTGAAATACCTACAAACTAAATAGAAATATATCTTTCAAATAATAACTAATAAAATCACATTGAAATCTAACTAAAGCAAAGCTGGATTTCAACTAAAAATTGAAAATAGTATGAAAATAAAAATTTAATAAAAAAATAAAACTATAGTAGCATTGGTGGAGGGGCGTTGGTGGTGAAGCCGGACTTGGGTGTCACCCGCATTTGAGTGTCACCCGCACTTATGTGTCACCCGGACTCGGACAGCCACTGGCCGGGTATCGCTGAACTTGTAAGGAAGCAAAAACACCACAGGCTGCTGTTGCCTTCAATAATGTGCTATTGAGAGGCTGTCTGACTAAAACACTACGATGGATGAATCAGTGGGCTTTGCTAAGGCTGCTTTCTATGCTAGAATCTGGATTTTCAAACACTAAGAGCTGCAGCACGTCATACTGACAAAAGCCTGCGACGTACAGCTGTACTTATGCTTAATGGCCAAAGATGCTCTGTGTACAAAAAAATACACAAAATGAGCTGGCAAACAAACCATGACACTTAACAGTAAAAACATACCTGTTAGAGTCATTAATGTGATTGTAATTTCTAATCTTTATGAAACACAATGATTTTGAAAGGATGTTTCCTGTGGAATACGATAGAGATATTTTTTTAATTCATTTGAAATGTTTGATCTGTTATCTGAAATCTATTCATTTTTAAAATCTTGCTACGATTTTTGTATAAAAATGATTTTGAAAAGCACTGGCATCTCAAAGCAAGCTAATCTGCATAGCATTTAAACTTTTACACCTCAAGATTAAGATTACAATTAAGTTGAGCCAGACTTTTAAACTGGGCCTTTTGACCTCTCTGTATGTTATGCATTGTCATTGTCATTGGAATCTTGGCTTAGCATACATGCTATTGTTATCCAGTGATCTTGTGTGTTTGAATGTAATTCAAAGCAGTTCTTGAAACATATATAATTACAACATATAATCCTTATTATTTCTCTTTCTGTGACATGATTACAAAACTATAGGTGATTAAAAGACAGTACATGATCTATTCGATGTTTAAAGGACAGTTTATACTATATACATACTTTCTGCACTTTGATAAACACTACTCTGGACAAATACAGTCCAAATGGTTCCTCCAGAGCATTTAGCGAATAAAAATGGTATTTATTGCTCTGCACTTTGTTGCCATATATCCTCCTGTGATGCTATCAATAAAGATTTATGGCAGAAAAAAATAACTTCTTTTGTATTTTGTCTTTATAGATTACAACTTATTTTTGCGTTGTATTTACCTTTACTCGAAAATGTAAATCAATGTTAAGTGGATATGTACATGCAAAATGAATTACCCCACTGCCGAAATATGTCACCGAAATCACAGTACGCAGTATTATATTCAGATGCTTTTATAATTTAGACCGGTAGATGTCACAAAAGAGCAACTTCGAATTCATTTGTAACTGAAAGACTGTAGTCCTAATTCTGCTGTTAATACTGGTCCTGCATTCATCTTCCCATGGCACTAAGGATGGGCTAAATTAGTCTTTTTTTGGGACACTGTTTGTTTTATACGGTTCACCTAAAAGATTTGTTCTGATTCATTTGCCAACTCATTCAGTGGCACTTCCTGTTTGCATAACATAGATCTGAAGCACTTGTGTTCCTGTACGTGAAACAAATAGCCTATTATTTAGGCTAAATAGTGCTAAAGAGTAAGCTAAATACCACCAATGAGAAAAATAATATTTGTTATTGAGTTATAGTCTAAGTCTTGGTAATATCGAACCTTAGCTATTCATGTTTGTTAAAAATGCAAAAAACCTAACAGCTCATCACATAGTCGGCTAACAAGTCCAGATGCCTACATACCTTGGTTAAAATAATTTTAAACTGTGAAAATGTTGCATCTCTAAAATCCAGTTGTGGCGAATGGAAAGTCACTGCACATGAATGCCTAATACTACGTCAGTAGATGGTGTTTTTCAGTCACAAATAAAATATGGGTCTCTGGTTCAGTCATGACCAAGAGGTAGCGTAACTGGGTCTCATGTTCACCCATTCACTCACCAACTCTTTCAGAAAGAGAATTAGAGACCCAAAGGGGTGACTGAGTTGGTGAGTGAGTGGGTGAAAGTGGCCGTATGTTTGTTTTCGTCTCGTGTTCCATCACTCACTCAAGTCATCAAGAGAAGGAGTTTTCTATGCACAGTTCTCGTTCGTTCATTTGCTGTAGGGGTATACATTCAGTCCCATGCTTAGTTTCCAGCCAATCATATGCTCGCTTACAGCACACCTTTACATGTCTCACTGGCTCTCATTGGCCATAGTCGAGGAGGGAAGCAGCTTTCAAGTCACAATTCTGAGGACAAGCGAAAGAATGAAAAGTGCATATTTACTGTAAAGGACTCATTCCCCGCAAACGAATCATTCACGGACATCACGCCATTACATGCCACTATATACTATCCCTCCATTTTGCGCCGCTTATCCGGGTCCAGGGCAGAGACGCCCAGACTTCCTCCCCCCCAGCCACCAACTGCAGCTCCTCTGGGGGGGCCACCAATGCGTACCTGGGCCAGCCGAGAGATAAAATCTATCCAGGGTGTCTGGGGGTAACTACGTATGCCTACAAATCGATGCATATGATTAACTCAGTCCTAGTTCATCCTAAATAGTAGTGTGTGTGCAGAGCCGTGGTTAGGGTGGTGCAACCAGTGTGGCCACAAAGGGCCCCGTCCTCCAGGTGACCCCACCCAAGGGGGAAACTTGCCTAGATAATGATAGGCTAAATAAGTTTTTTTTTTTTTTTTTCATTGCTTGTAGTCATTTCTTCTGAATATGTCATTTTGGCTAAATATGCACTGCAACACACATCTTGGACATGTGATCATATATCCTAGGCTAAGATAACCTGCGTGGTCCCTGAGCCCCGCCCCTCCTCAGATACTGGTGTGTGCGTGTGTGTGTGTGCGCGCGCGCGCGCGCTTGAAATAACTATATATGTCCGTGAGGGGTATGTGTATGTGTATGTGTATGTGCGTGCTTGAAATACCTCTGTATGTCCGTGAGGGGATAGTATTGATGCAAGTATTGTCTTTGCAGTCTGACCATTTCGACTTATTAATATTACTTCGGTAGTTATTCACTAATGTTAAATTACATGTTATGTTGAACTACATCTAATCCAATGCAGTAAAACTAATTCATTTCAAATTTACGATCTACAGACATAACAGTTCAAATTTTAACCTTGCATTTCGAAAGGTCGTTAGGTGGGACGTTCGTTATCGCGTGATTTACCTATACCAAATTAATGTATTGTACCCTATTCGTTTTACAGAGAATAAAGCTAGTTTTGTGTCTAAAAGACACAACGTGGTCACGAACAAGTCACTCGAAAGCCCACTGAACTTAGGCGCCACTGGTATTTCTGCTTTTTAGCAGGAAAAACTGGTTCAATGTCAATTCACTTCAGTTCTGTATTTGCACATAGTAAGTAATTCTAGGACATGATTTCAGCAGGCTGCGATTTATATTTGTTAGGCTCCTGAATCAGTGTTGTAGGCTACTCATTAAGCCCGGGCTGAAATAAGTAATTGGTAAAAATCCGTCAGAATTTCTGCTGGAAACTGACTGACAGCTGCTGATAAATAGTAAATATAAGCATTTATCAGTCAACCCTAGTTTGTTTGGTTTACAACTTATATACCATCCGTGCCGTCGAAATATCCGTCATTGTTACTGCACATTGATGAGCGTAATAGATTTTTTTCGCCTAGATTTTCTTACACAATATATCGCAATTTTTAACACATAATGTTGGTGACACACCTAAGAATTAAACCTTGTATTTCTCCAGCATCAGCCTTTTTAATCATAGTAAATATACCACAGATCAGATAAACTGGTGTAGAGCTATATTAAAAAAAACAAGGTCAGTCAACCATCGTACATGGTTTTACTGCACGTCCTTCGTTTAAGATTTAACGATAATAAGAAATCACGAATGGCAATCAGGATAGTCAAGTAAATGGGCTAATTTCATACTTTTCAGGCTAATATTTCATACTTTATATTTCTTAATCATCTTTGAAAATAATTATGCACACATTTTTATTTACCAATAACCTAATCCATGAGACATAATTGTCATCTGAAGGTTTAAGACGTGAACATTTCCGACAGTTCCCAGTTTATCGTTTTAACGCAAATATTTGGCTTTTATTCTTAAATCGGGTAACTTAAAGGCACACAAATAATCAGTGACACAACTTAATGAATTATGTAAAACATTTTAAGAGTTATTTTAAAAGGTATTGACTCCACCCAAAACTAAATTTCACCTTGGAAAACAACGGATATTGTGATATAATACACTTCCATAGATGTATATTAATAACATAATGTTTAAAATCTGGGCTTACCGACATTTTGAAGATCACCTTCAAAACCAGGCAATGGGTGCACGTCCTACGAGCCATTCTGATGCGCAAAATATGATGACCAGATGAGATATACTGTCCTCACGAAGTGAATTGTTCTGTTTTCTGTTGTTTTTAGTCATAAAATCAGTGTGCTGGGTCGGTTCTTCTGTTCTAACTGTTTTAAAAAGGAATGAATGAAAAAAATGACTTTGCGAATAAAATGTTTAGAGCGGAGTACATGCGCTTCTCCTCCCCCCTCTCTATAGTTCCTTCTTCCTCCGTGTCTGATTCGGCTCCCTTACACGCCTAAGAACAGATGCGCATCCTCCTCCTGTCTGTCCTCTACTAATTCAAGGATTTTTAGCATTACTGAAAGAAGAGCCAAAGGGGGGAAACAACTTGGAGGAACTCGCAACAGCTGCTGGCCGAGTCAAGCGTGGACAAGACTTGCCTACATTTGCAGGTATAGATCGAGTAATCGAGATGGTTAAATATGTGAAATTCGTGCAAAATACCCGTCAGAACAGGAAGGCGTAAGATAGAAAAAATGCATCGCAAGGTTTTTTTTCCCTCCAGAATGACAGCAAACTGTGTTCGGAAAACGTTTTTTTTTTTTTTTTTTAATTTACCTCCGTTAAAATCTATATTGGATTACATACGTTGGATGACATGCATTAAACTTATAGTGTTTGTTGTTTGATGAGCATGTCTTGTGCTAAAGAATTATTAACAGCAAGGAATTGATAATAAAGGCGGTCATTTTTTTCCGTAACCCGATGACTTTAAATTTAAAGCAAGGACGGGAGGTGGGGTTCGGGGCTGATTCGGTCCCAGTGTTGAACCTTAAGGTACGCCCTTGTTTTAATGCGTGCCTTTCATCGGGTGAATATGAAAGCCTCGTGTTGTTTTACTCCTTATGACCTCATATTTATTATTAGAGATTGCTAGACTGGGGGATTATTTAAAAAAATAATAATACCTGTCACAAATAGCAGAATACCTTAGGAAAATAATTTGGTTTGTATGAAATAAAATACTTTTTTCCTTTCGCTATTGGTAACTCATGTCGTCTTATGAAATTTCATCCTATTTTCTATTTAAATGTACTGAGCCTGCATAAATCTGTATTTATCTGCAACTGAACTGGAACGCTGATTTAAGCTTTTTTATATTTTATAATACAAACTATAATATATTTTTATATGTTTTAATATATTGTTTTTTCAGCTGCATTGCTCTCTCCTAGGCCATGACCAACCCCCTAGAGAAGGTGGTGGCCCAGAAGAAGGAAGCCATTGAGGCGGTGATGGAGATGTTTGAACGAGGGGCAGAGGTCCTGGCCAGTGCTGTGGGGGAGATCTTCCCTCTGTGTGAGGCAGCGGCTCCGATTCTGCGACTGACTCTGGACAATGTGCAGAGCAAGGAGGTATTCTACGTCAAGGAGCAGTTCCTGTCTGTACGCAACAAGCTGGACATTCTGTCCACCCAGCTGGAAGACATAGACTATGAAATCAAAAAGGGCCAGGTGGATGCTCAGTATTTCTCCGTGGAGGAGAACATTCATAATCAGTTCCGTAAATACATGGACATCTTGGAGGCCAAACCCCAGTTTCGAGAGACAAAGACCAGACTGTTTTTGGAACATTTTTCCAAAACTGGTGGAGAGAAGAATCTGAATGTACTTTGTGATGCTGTTTTGGGACGCAACATCTTTGGGGAATCAGTCCTGGAGGTGGTGAAAAACTATGAAGGTCATAACAGGAGGATCTTGGAGGAGTTCTGTGTCAGGATGAAGGAACTGTTCTGCCTGGGCTTGATTGCCCTCTTGGGTCACAGCGCTCTCACCCAGGAGGAAGAGGAAGAGCAAGAAATTATTGAAAAATGGAACCAGAAGATGCAGGAGGTAGAGATTAGGATGAAGACAGCGATTGAAGAATGCGTTACAGCTTTTCCCGAGCAGGCCTGTCTGGATATCCAGAGGCTGGTACGGGAGCAGGGAGAGAAAAGCGACCCAGACACGGCGCAGAAATTGGTGGAATTCCTCTCAAAAAAGTACGACTGGGTATACTGGTCCGTCCGTGTGGTCAGCCACTCCGGCAGCAGCTACAGCAACTGGCGGGCTGGAGATAACTTCCAGCGCGTGGTGGGGCAGAGCTGGTTCGACGTGCCGAACATAAACAATGTCACCGTAGTGGTGTCCTACAGCAGCCGCCCGCAACCCGTACCCCAGGACTGCATCCAGCAATTAATGGATGGGATGGGGAAGAAGGGCGACGTCCAGCTTGTGGCAGAGGATCTGGAGAAGAAGTTCCCTGGCATGGTGGCACACACGGTGAGCCGGCATAAGGAGATCAGTGCCTACTGGAGCTTCCCGGAGGACTGCCACTACTGGAAGAAGCACAAGAACATGGCCCTCTGTGTGCATTCTGAGTGAAGGCCTCCAAATCGCTCATCAGAAGATCAGGAGAGCAAGGGAAACATGTTCCGCTCTCAGCTATCAGATTGCCGCTTATTGATTTGTGTGCAATGTGAGGTGCAGTATTAGCTTATAAGCTTATCCTTTGTTTTCAGGCATGAGCAAGATAACGTCATATATCTTATTATCGATAGCAGAGACTAAATTTTTTCTGTATGACTCGAATATATGTCCTAGTATAACGAAACTCCACAATCTCCCAAATTTCCCTATCAAAATAAGTGCGATGTTGCAATCTATGTGATTAGCTATGGCTCTCCTTTGAGCCTCTGGCAGATTTATACAATCGGTGAGCACTGATTGGATGATGAGTGATGGATGTTTTCATGATCGTTGCTGAATTATATAATTACATTGGCTGTCCAAGTCCAAGTCTGGTCCAATGATGTTAGAGAGCCCCTGAATGGATTGCAGACCTGGAACCTTTCTTACTTGCTGTAGTATCAAACAGGACCCAATAACAAAGGCTGTGGTACTTTAAGACAGATCACGGGGTCGTTCTTGCATTATTTACTCAAAGTCTCTTTAAGATTCTCCAGGCTTTCTGTATACTTATGCATGGCATAAATAAAGCACGACTTTGGATGCATTTTTTGGAGCCAAGTCATTGGTGGACCTAACATTTGACTCTTGTTCTGTTGAAGCATACAAATAAATAACAAAAAGATTGTGTTGTATTTGTCGTATAAATGACTATGATATGGCTTTTATATGATTTATAGTTATACTATTCTGCAAGCTAATGTGTTTTACAACCCATTTTACTATCATCAGCCAAACATGTGGAGATTATTCACATTTTTTTCCCTTGCCTTGGAAGTCCAGTGTAACGCTTGGTGTGCGTGAACATTAGTCAGCGTTTTCTGAGAGGAGGCTGAAGTGAAATGGTCCCTAAATAACCTGTAGCTCCATTAAATTGGAGAAAATGAGCTTCAGATTGCTTGGCTCAGCGCATTCGGATGAGTTATTATACCGGCTCGGGTGGGAGGGGTCTCACCTCAGGAATCGCTTTAATTTGAACAGCGAAGAGCAGCTGTGTCAGGGGGTTTTGCCCATATTAGTCGCTATAAATCATCTATTTGCTTCATCATCATTTACGGAGCAACAGCTCTCTTGTTAGTGGGAATGTAAAGCATAGACTCTGCTCAGTTTATACATTAATAGTCAAAAAGTTTTTGCACACCATAGATTTTTACCATTTTTCCATTTATTTCAAAAACTGCAGATTTTTAAAAGGTTGTGTGGTGATGGCTTAGACAAATTCTATGCTCTCCTTTAACATCCCATGACACAGAGCAGTATTTAATGTCCCTTGTGGAAAGAAATGCCTCAATTTTTTATGCTGTTATACTTACTAGAGGAGGTTACTTTGACGAATCAAAGATAAGACATTTTCTTGCTAATAAAGGTACTCAAAAGGTGAACATACTGTAAATGTATTTGTTAGCAAAGAATAGCGCATGTCTTTATAGTAAATGTTAAGTGAGTAACATGCAAATGTAGAAAATCTAAATCTGTGCAAAAACTATTGACTGATAGTGTACACTTGCTAGCCACTTGATTAGGGACATGCGTACTTCTACTCATTCATGCAAGTATCCAATCAGCCAGTCATGTGGCTGCTGGCTTTACGCATAATGAACTGGTCGCACCTTTGCGTTGTGGTGAATTGGGAGATTTTAAACATGAATGTGCATGTTAAAATAGGTATTCAGAACTGAATATGGAGCGCAAAACTGATGTGAAATTTCTCAGGGTGCCTGTGCAGGTCATGAAAAATTCAATTCACTTTCAATTAAATTTTATTTGTATAGCACATTTTCACAACATTACATTGTGTAAAAGCACTTTACATTATCCCTCCCCAAAGCCTTCAGTGAGCAAGCCAGAGGCAACAGTGACAAAGAAAAACTCTCTAGAAGGAAGAAACCTTGGGAAGAACCAGACACAAAGGGGGAGCCCATCATCCAGGGGCCTGCAGAGGAAGTCAAATGAGCAAGTTCACACTGTCCAAATTTTAAGATTTGAGTCTCAAAGCTGGGGGGGCAGGCAGGTGCTGGTGCTGCTTCTGACAGCAGGAGGAAATGTGATGCAGCAGCAGGGAAGGAAGGAGAGACGTCACAGGGACAAGGGCAGGCAGGCCAGAAGGACATCACAGATAGCAGAGGCCTTGCAGGCAGCAGGGTAGGCAAAATATCTTGAGTTTTTGGGTCTCTAGGCAGCACATCCCAAGAGGGGTGGGTGGGAAATAAAAAAAATAGCCAAAGTAGGGGAGACTAGAGGCAGTGCAAACAGAAGCAGAGGCAGGACTCAGGGAATAGGGGAAAACACAACATATAATTCCAGGCAAAAACATGCAGGACCACAGAACAGTCAGACACGATATGACGTTAATGACCGGACTCGGGAAAACATACCTAACACAGACTTAAATACATCAGACTAATTAACAACAACGAGATACAGCCGGTAATATGGGGATTCTACATGAGGTAGATGAGGGGCGTGGCATACGGGAGGATCGGACGAGCAGGTCATGACATTAGATACTAATAGATATCCTGCTCCTTGAGATCGAAGCAAGTGAGGAGGGTAGGAATAGACCAGCAGATCACTAAGGAATTCTGGTGCAAGGTCATTCAGTGCTTCGTAAGTTAATAAAAGTTTTGTTTAATCAATCCAAAAATTAATTGGAAACCAGCGAAGGGATGGCATGGATTAGTTTTTGGATCATCTTCCGAAGCTTGGCTATGTTCCATAGATGGTAGAACACAGTTCTAGTAATACTTCTTATGTGAGAACGGGCGATATGTGTAGGTGGGTCCAGGTATGGGTGAGATGGGGAGCTGTGGAGTTCTGGAGGTAAAGCTTGTGCAGGGACCTGTAGCTGATCCCCATCAAGAGGAAGCTACAGAAATAGAGGAGGCTGGGAAAGATGAAGGTTTCAGCAGCAGGTTAGGGGAGGCGGGGTCTGAGGTAGGTGATGCTGCGCCATTGGTGTAGAGTGGAAACAATCCAGCTTTACGGGGAATGGATTTAGGGCCAATCAGGATAAACTCAGTCCTGTCACTGCTGTGCTGATACAGATAAGCATGCCTCGGTTTGGGAGACGGGTGGCGAGCGGATTGATTTAGTGCTGAGGTAAATCCGGGTATCATGCGGATGATAGTGGAAGCTGAGGTTGAACTGCCCAATGAAACAGCCGGGGGGGGGGGATGTATAGAATGAAGAGCAGCTAAGTAATCAATGGTAAGCATTCTAATCCTTTTGACCTTAACATTTTGTGTTTAAGGTGTCATCTATCCATCTTATAACTGCCTATCCTCAGGGTCTTGGGACGTGTGTGACATTATAACGTAAAAAATGAATATATTTCTCATGCAAACATTGCAAGATGTCCACAAACAATAGTGAGATGCAGAGAGAACACGCAGACTCCACCACACACAATAGTGAGATGCAGAGAGAACACGCAGACTCCACCACACACAATAGTGAGATGCAGACCCCTGGAGGTAAAAGACAAGCGTGCACTGCTGTCCCTCCCAGGCTCCAAATGTAAGATATAAAAATAAATTTTACTTGTGCTGCACACTGTGCTGGTTTTTGTCACATTACAGATGCTCAGCACACTCACAGTGCAGATTAATAATGGATGTGTAGAGTACCTGGTGGTAGCTAGCTAGTACAGCGAGATATTCCTGGCCTCATCATCTCCTCAAGCAAGCCTCTGAATGACAGCTGAGACAAAAGAGGTCCCACCGCAGTTAAAGGTGGAGGTTCACCTTTCTGTGAGAGAGTCCCATCGAAACCCCGGAAGGACAGAGTGTTTCTTAACCTGAGCTTGTTCTGGGGATTCATAAAAAAACAGTTTTTCGTCTATTATTGGTCCCAATGAAAAGTTACCCCTTGGAATCTTTGCAAGTGTACGTTATATTTAAAAAAAAATCCATCAGTTAGTATGGATAAATAAGTTAAATTAGGGAATGATAAGGTTAATGGAGGTTTTACAGCATGCAGATAATTCAGTGCTCTAGGACCCAGTGTTGAGACCTACCGATTAAAGCAAAAGGAGATATTTCAGAAATAATCAGAAAAAAACCCCACAAAATGTTATATTGTTTTATAAACACTTGTGGAGTTGTATATATTATAAAAATGTGCTCATCTCTTTCTAAGTGCTTTATTTTTTTGATTTTATATTTTATCTTAGGTCATTTTTTTGTATATTGCATGCATTGTTAGTAGAATGCATAATCCAGATATATATACAAAAAATCCTAGAAAGTACAAATAAAACCCAATAAGTCCATCAATCACTGTGCAAATAGTGGTGTTCAGCATTGCTCTTTAGTGCTCAGCATTGCTCTTTAGTGTTCAGCATTGCCTGGAAGTGAAGCTTGTCGTCATGCCAGGTCCCCTCATTACACATATTGCCCTTACTCAGCATGTACGGTATGTAAATCCATAACTGCACCAACGGAGCCTCCCTTGTATTCATTAGTGGTTCTGTGGCTGTTTCAATGGCAACGACTATTGATCCGCGGAAGGCTTGGCTTTGATTAAGGTTTTCGGGGATCTTCTGTAGGTTCGGATTGTCAGCGCAAAGGGCCTGTATCCATCAGCTGATCTAACACATGGCAACCTGGTTGAGGATTTCTATTAAATTCTACTCGCTCATGGTAGTTAAATAAATGATGGAATTGGACAATGTCTAAAGACAGAGGGCGCTATCAACAAACGGATCAAATTGGTTTTCCGGTCTCCTTGAAACTCGGTTTAACGTTTTTGAACACGCAACTTCTTAGATTTTCTAATAATAGCATTTGCTATTATTCTAATTCTAATATTCTATTCTAATAATAGCATTTGCTTCTTAGAATAATTAAACTTTAATTTTCATATTTTATTGAGTGCACTGGTAATATTCCTAAACTGGAACTCTCTAGGGCAGCATGGTAGTATATGTGTGCCCTGTGATGGACTGCCATCCCACCCAGGGTGTACCCCAGCCGTGTACCCAGTGCATCGTGGGATAGGCTCCAGGTGACCCTGACCAGGATATGCGGTTAGAAGACGAATGGGTGGTAATCGCTATGATTATTATACTTTATTTTAAGCACAATTTCAATGTTATTTAACAGCACTGAAGGAGTGGAGGCTGCTGAGTAACTGCTTTTATTTCCCTGGGGAATCGGCTTGTCTGTGAGTAATAAATATTGGAAAATAACCACAGTAAAAACAGACAGACAGACAGACACACACACACAGACAGACACACAGACAGACAGACACACAGACAGACAGACAGACAGACACACAGACAGACAGACACACACACACAAGGAAAGTAAGGGACAACTGGCTAAATCTGAGACCTACTGAATGAATCACATGCATGAATAAATGTGAATATGATAAGCATGACTGGCACAAATGAAGCATTTGGGTATCTTCTCATTTTTATGACCTGAGATGTACTTTCTACCTGTGAAGTCATAAACAGATGACCCGCTTCAGGAAGAGAGATGAGCCAATATCAATATTTCATAAACATTCGCCTGCTTTTATGAAGCTCAGCATTAGCGTGGCCCTTGAGGCGGCCAATCAATCGCAGGATGGCTCTGCCTGACCCGAAGCTGCCAATCAGGGCTCAGGGTAATGACATTATCTGTCCGTCAGAGAGCCCCATCGACCAGACTGCTCCTCTCTAAGTGGCTTAATCTGATAAGAAAGCATTAAAACACTTGTTTCCTGACACACACCAGAACAGGCAGATGCGTTCCAGATGCCCTTTTTGTGTGTACAAACACATACAGAAATATAATGTAGCCACACCCTGCTTTTCTTTAAACACTCCCTGCTTCATTGACTGTCAAGGCCCTCTGCGGTGAACACTATCTCTCTCCCCTGTGGAGTGTCAGCCTGCTGTCCCCCCCCCCCACCACCACCACACTTGCTCCCCCTCCCAGCTGGAACACACGTCAGCACATCAGAATTTCAGCACATTTTTTCACTACTCAGCTTCTCTGTGACCTCGAGAGTGAAGATCTTTGCACCAGTCAAGCTCCCTCGCCGCACTGCAGCCCATCGGCTCGTCAAAGCTGCTTTCATCCACCCTCTCAGCTGAGAAATGGCTGCTGTGTCACAGCGAGCACTAAGAACAGGCTTGCATGTGCACTGTACAGGGCTGAAAGCAGAGCTCTTATTGGCAATCAATGCAATTCAGGATCATTTAAGCTTAATCAAACAATAAAGATTCTGTATAAATGTACAAAATAATTCAAAATCTATTCCAAAACTATTGCAACTAAGCAAATATCTGAGAAACAAAATGCTGCGGTCTTGTCAATTTATTTACTACAATGAACTAAATGTCAAAACCCACCATCACCCTGCACTGAATAACAGGCATGAAAGATGGATGAATGGGTAGTTGCATTGCTGTTTATACTTGGATCTCAGGAATGGTCACACTGCCCCTAGGGGGCAGGAGGACTGGAGCGGTGACTGTGAGAAACAGCATAGCGTGCAAAACCCGACACCACTAAGCTCCGTACTAAACGGGAAGCAATGGCTGCAAGGTCACTCTCATTCCTGCTAAAACCTGGCATCTACGGAAGGATTTTTAGAGTGAATTCCTAGTGATTTGTGGGAATAAAAAAAAAATATGTCCCAGAAACATGCATGTACACTAATTCCAACTTTTAAAGATGGAATGTTTGTCTCAAGATACTATACAAAGCTTACTATTCTTTTATTTGTCCATCCACAAAGGCATTAGCAAATTAAAGCAGCCATCAGTCTATCGATCCTCGCTCAGTCTGATATATACTTTCCGTCGTCTCTTTTCCTTCCCTCTCCCCCAATCATTGTCTTACTTTTCCTCTCTTCCTCTCTGCATCTTTCTCTCCTCTCATGTTTCTCTCATATGGCCTTTGCTAGGAGCGAATGTAGGCGAAACAAACTGTAATGAGAGAAGAATCATGAAGCCAATGCATCATTTTTGTCTTTGCCAGCTGCTTTAGTTTCAATTCACTGTGCATAAAATCTTTAGGACATTATTCAAAGTATTGAAAATGATATTGTGAACTTATCTGTACCAGATTAAAAAGTAAATGAAGGATTATGAAAAAGTACATTTTTAATAGGAAGATTCAAGTCAAATGGATTTTATTGTCATGTCATCTATACATTGCAGTACAGTGATATACATTTTTGTTCCTCTGGCCCACAGCATGATTTTAAAGGCCAGACGGGGACGTCTCTTACATATGAAGGTACATCTGGGATACTTTAAATAAGGTACAAACAACAGATACAGTGCAATACATATAGTACAATTAGGCAGGAGATTTTAAAAAAATCAGTTTTGTAGGAGAGGAGATGGGACAGAATTTTAAGTTCCGTAGATGGGGCAGTAGATGGTGATTTGGGATATGTTTCCATCCATCCTCTAGTTGCCTCTCCGGACGCAGCCCACTGGAGATGGCAGAGGGCACAAGGGGGGGCACCTTGGAAGGGAGGCTGGTCCATCAGGCCGGGCAAACATGCAGGCGATTTAATGAATTAAGTATTACAATGAATAGGTTGGTGCCAGACTGGTGCTTGTTTAGTTAATTATGCAGACATTTCCTATTAATTAATGTCAGGTCACCGAATTGCATGTCTTCCAACAAGCCAGTAGCTTTGAGTAGCTGGAGGAGACCCAAGGGCAGGAGAAGAACATACAAACTACACACATGCACAGCAGAGGTGTGATCTGACCCCCCCGCCCCCGCCCCCCCATCCCTGGAGGCATGAGGCAACAGCATTACCCACTGACCTACTTAAAGCTATCTGTTCAAAAAATTAATTCCAGATTAAGATCCCGCTTAGTCCTTTGATTTCACAAAGGGCAATCAAACATTCAAAAAGGGGTTATTTAAGTGACCTGTGCTGGCTGTGTTGCCTCCGATCTGTACTTAACTTGTATTGATCGTGTAAGTTTGACAGATGGTCACTCTTGAACCCGGAGGGCCAGCCTCCCGCTTTGATGCGGCTTCGCATGCAGATCAGGGCCATGATTGTGCTTCCTGGCAGGAACAGTGGAGGCCAGCAGAGTTCAGCCGCGTAACTCGGGAATTCATTCTGGCTGCAAAGCAGCTTCCTGAACACTGGATTTACAAAGACTCAGCTTTGTGTCAAACATTAATCATACTTATGTTTGGACTGAAAAAAATAATCTTTCGATGAAATTGTACCACTAACTTTTCATTATTTCCACGTTTTTGCACTTATCGACTTAGCTTTGCGCTTTCATTTAAATTTTGATTTATCTTTGCATTCAACATTACTGACAAAAACGTATTTTTCAGCCTTTTGGCAGAGATTTTTTCCCTACATTTCCTCTGAGATTTCCTGCACTCACAGGAAACATGGATATTCTGCTCTGCCGAAGACACCTTCTATATGCTTCCATTAATGATAAAAAGATTTTTTTCGTTTTCCTTTTGCACTCTGGCCTGGAAACCCCTGGCCTCAAATAAAAATTTCTCCACCAGCTAGCAGACGACCAGCATGATTTTAAAGGCCAGACAGGGACGTCTCTGTGGCCAGCTGCAGAAAGCTCTCCTAGTTTTGTGGCAAATCCCTAACATTCTCCACCCAGCTTAATTCAACCACGACCAGAGCCAGAAATAGTGACAGGCTAGTGGGGAAAGGAGAGGACCTTCACGCTCAATCTTCAGCACACAGATTTAGAACAATTCTGAAGAACTGCTCCTACAAATCTAACTTGTGCTAAACTGTAATGTACGTAACGCTACAAGAAAAACTGGAAGAACAAAACTGTTGAAGTTTGCGTTTGTTGTCTCTACTGTTAAACTAATGCAGCTTTGTTTTTCACAGCAATTACAGATATTGCACCACAGCTGAATTACTGCACACCTATTGTTCCATGCAAACCGCCCAGCCTGGGTACAGCACTGTGACACAACGGTGAGTCTACAGTTTGAAGCCTCTGGCTAATTCCTACTGGCAAATCACAATGATACTCACATTTAGTGGATCGACCCATTTCAGCAAGGCTCGGCCCCCGCCTGTTTTCTCATGGGAGCCGCCGATGTCAGGGGAAGTTAACTGTAAAATTAGCCTCATCCAGAAACATTTCTGTTTTTTCTACTTGTTTTTTTTTTTTGACTTCATAAATGCGTATGCTTTTAAAAAAATATATAAACACACGCATGTGCATATGCAGGTATTCAGTTACCTTCTGCATGGGTGTGGCCACTTAAATGGAGATTGAAAGAAAACATGTAATGATATATAGAAACATACAAGCAAAGAGTATATTTACTGAACATAGCATAAAATAGAATAGAATAGAGCATAACATAATAGAATAGAGCATAACAGAATAGAATAGAGCATAATAGAATAGAATAGAATAGAATAGAATAGAGAATTCCTTTAAAAGTTCTGAATATGATCATCATGTTTCTTCCTCAATCAGGCATCTCCCCATCCTGCCACATGCAAACCATGCCTTCTCCTCCTTCTTCTCCTCCTCCTCCATCCCTTCAAATGCAGATCGAGGGAGTACAGGCTGATATATATATATTCCTGAGCTTAAATACATGCGCATCACGTCACCATTGGGAGGGATTCTAAGTGGACGGATTTCGAATGAGGAATTACAGACCAATCGCAAAAAATCGACAAGCATGCGACAGAAAACCCCTCCCATAGAGCTGCAGTGATTTCTTCATATTTGCATTAGGCCAACCTTTGCCTTAACCCCGCAAAATATTTAAGATGATTTTCAGCCAAGAGGTCATTTCCAAGATCTCTGCTTTGAGCTAAAGTGACATCTTGTGGCAGGGGAAAACACAAATACAAGTCAATATCTCTAGTAATTTGTGGTTTATTTTTAAAAGGAAATATATTTTTTCATATATATTTTTATATAAATATTTTTGCAACATGTTTTCAAAAGTCACACTTTGATTTTATTATCATTACATACCAGTTACCCAACTAGAACTAATGTTCACAATAATTGTGCCAGGTTATTTTTCCTTTAGTGTAGCAAGCAGTGAATAATATTGTATTTAAAGAAATGAATGTATCCTCTGCTCCTTTCCTATAACCTCTTAGTCACGTAGTCAAGTGACGGCGCCGTGGTGCTTCTCGTGAGAATCTTAAGCTGTGAGGCAATGCCCAGTTTGGAAACCACAAAATCACAAGGTGCTCATGAATTTACTGACTTAATAAGCCCAATTTAATGACAGTGTCATCTTCTCCAACACAAAAAAATTGACGAGCTGAGGCCAGAGGACACTGTATTAGGTTCACCTGCTCATTGAAACATACGGTCTGCACCTCACAATAGAGAATCATGTGGATAGAACTCAGTCTATGGCACAGACAGACAGACAGGGTCCAGAGGTTCACTTACTTTTTCACTAAGTATTTGAATGGACAAGTTGGCATCAGGCGGGTACTTGCTGGTCCAGTATCCTAGAGACACTGTAGTGTCTGGAATGGTGTGACTAAAAAAAATCATTGTCAGCCATTCAGCAGATCTGTGGGTAACACACCTTGGTAGAGCTAACAGGAACAGCCACTAATAGTAGAATAACAACTTACTACTATGAAGTAGAACGGCACTTCGGAATGCAGAGCTTGTTGAACTTTGAAGGTTTTCTGGAGACAAAAGGGGCTCCTACCCTGTTCCAAAACTGGCCAGTCATTATATATTTATAAAAACAGCTATTAACCAGACATTAATCTGACTGTAGTTGCACAGAGACGTAACTATAAAACAAATAGCGATGGACTGGATGGATGGATGGATGAGGCAAAGAATCTTTTAGAGAAAGGGAAATTAACACTGTCCTTTGATGGACTGGCATCCAACCCAGAGTTTACCCCAGTCCTGCCCCCCTCCACCCTGACCAGGTGGGGGGGATGAAGAGATGAAATTAACCCAAACAGGCCAGCTGGGCCTGGGGCCTGCACTACGAAGCGGGGTTACTGGCTTATCGGGGCTTATTGTCGGATTTAAGGTAGTCTGGGCAAAATGTAAGTGAACGAACATGAAGTTCATTTAAACTGTGGTACCTTAAATCCAACAAGTTCCCGCGATAAGCCAGTAACCCGCTTCGTAGCGCAGGCCACTGGTTAGTTTAGTTATTATTTGCTCTATGAAAACGCAGATGAATATTTTGATTTAATGTCAGTGAACAGTTCATATATAATATGTAAAGCTTCCTGGAGAAGATGTCCATGTGCTGGGGCATTAATAAAAAGCGGTGTTTAGCGCCGTTGCCTAAGGTCCTCTGGGACTGGGGTTTGAGCTTCCGCTCTGGCTACATGTGTGGAGTTGGCCTGTTCTCCCATGTCGCCATGGGGCCCCTTCAGGGTAAGCTGGTTTCCCCCCACAGTCCAACAACATGCTAAGGTAAACTGGAGTTGCCAGATTGTGTTTGGTGTGTATGTGTGTGCCTTGTGATTGGTCGGCGCTCCATCCTGGGCCACTTGCACCTGTACCTTCGAGGAACCTTGTGACCCTGGATAGGCAATGCAGGTGCAGAAAATGAACAGGTGGAGATTAATAAAAAGTATTGGTGTTGCACAAAATGCTATATGTTGCGTAAAATTAGATCTTTTGTGTTTCTAGATCAAAACAGCGGCTGGGCAGGAATATAACTCTGTTACGGAAATTAGCCCTTTATGCATGAACAAAGCTTTTCACTGTATCAATGTAATTTATAATCATTAGCGTTTGATTGATCTTACCAGCTTCACGGGCCTTTTTCTGTTATTTTGTAATGCTGAAGTGACATACAAAGAGACTTAACTCTGGAGTTACTCTACTACCCTAAAATGGAAAATAGTTCCTCTTTTTATTTAGATTCAGTTCCATTTACGGTTGAAAATGGGATTTTCCTCAGTCACGCATCTCGGTAAAGAGTAAACTAATGCTGGCCTACTGTGCCAGTGATATGTTCCCTCTCATTTTCATCCTGCAATAAACCAATGTTTGGACAAGATGATGGCTATTTGCACCTGTTTGATCAATGTGTTTGTTTTTCAGAATAAAGGATAGAAACAAAGCATGTGTGCTGATACCTTTTATTTTTTTGAAAATACACCCTTTATTATTGCTTTATTGAAGTTACACCCATTCTGTGGAAGGTAATGGCCTCCCATGCATCAGGAACCAGCATAAAAGCTTAAAGAGCACAGAAGTACTGCAGGAATGACCCAATTTTGTCGATTCTCATGGAGTGCATGATGAAATGGTGATGAATAAAGTGTCGCTATTTTATATCATTCTATTTGATTTCTAATTGAGTTCCACAGTTCAGTGATTTTAGTCTATGCGTTTCATGCAGCGACAGAAGAGAGTGAAAAAAAATGAAAAGCAATTAACGTCATTAAACAGAGGTCTACAACTCATTAAAGCAACACAACATTTTCAAGCTGACCAGTCTCATTTACCCCAACCCAACCCTCTTTATTGTACTCAATTACTGCAAGGCAAGGCATCATGTTTCTGGATGTCACGAGTTAGCGTAGTATGAGAAAATGCAGCGAGATGACACAGAATGAAAACAATGACGTACACTCACCAGAGCCCCCACGGACCAAAGACGATTATACATCTGCAACCTGGACTTCCTCTCTCACTTTCTCTGGAGTCGGTCCGCTGTCATTTAGGCTGTCACAGCTAAGTTGTCAAAGTGAGCATTCAAAACGAGCGGATATGTTGACCCTTTGTGGCACAGAGGCGGAAACACTGGAGTCTTTCAGAGCTCCACTGCATGACTTTGTCATTGGGTGAGCCTCAAAACTCTTGCCCGCTGAAGGGCATTTTTGCCTGCTAGAAAGCATTTTCAGCTTCCTTGGGGGGAAGAAAACAACCAAATGTCTGTATTGGAGGCAAGATTTTTTTGTGCCACAGCTTACAGGTACCTGTGCATAGAAGTCTGGCTATTCAGACATGAAGAGTTTGTTGGTTAACATCTGATTCGGCCATTCCTTGGAACTGCCAGTGAAGAAAAAAACAGCAAGGGCAAAAAAGACAGGTGACGTAGGCTTCAAATTGCAAACTGACGGAAAACCAGCAGCCATAGCAACCCCAGGGAAAACCTCCAACTGGATTGTTTGTGGCATTGAAAGACCTTTTTTTTCAAACTGTGTCTACTTTTTACTTGTGTGTGTGAAATGTCCCTCCAGAGGAGTGTTTACAGGATGTTATCTGTCTCCGTCCCTGCCCCTTATCCCTTGGAGTGGGTTCACTGGAATGCACAGAGGGGATGGAGGAGCTCCAAGAGGGAGTGACATAGGACAGAGTGTATATATACATCCCGACCCTGGGAGGTTCCTGCTCAGAGGCACAGCTGGTCTTTTCTAGAACTGGAGTGTCCCCCTACGCACTTGCCGGACTCGGGGTAAGTCTTCTTCTTTCTACTTTGCCCTGTTCATTCCTATCTTATGGACATGGTTATGAAGGGTCCACCAGCTTTTCTGGCTAAGTAGACTTTGACAAGGACATTATGGCTGTCTGTGTGGTTCACACAATAAATGCAAAAATATAATGAACCAGGATGCTGTAGCTAAACAAATATTGACAGCCAGCTGAATTTCTGTTTGCTTATGGCAGAAGAGAAAAATCTACTGATGTGGTCCTAGGCTTTATGGACTGGTTACTGCTTAAAACAAGCTAGAAGAGACGGTTGTGGGTTTGCTGTAAATAGGTCAGTCTTCTGACTCTTTTTTAAAAATCTCTAGAAGTAAATTTTATCCAAACTTTTTCAACCAAAAGCTATTGTTAACAAAAGTGCATTAATAATGTAGATTTTTAATGCTAGTATCTTGCCTTACTTTTATTTTTTATCTTTTTTTTCTGATCCTATAACTGTGTTTATTTAATTAATTAATGAGTCACAGTTGCATTCACCTAGTTTTCCGGAATTTTAGAAAGTTTAATTTGAAGTAATGGAACAAAGTTATGAAACTTCATCTAAGAGGTTGATAAATGGTTTAGTGAAAGGGGGTGAAGTAATTGGATACAGACTTGGGCACGGTTATGAATTTTAACCCAATGATTATGCAATAAGAAGACGTGGAGCTAATGTCATATCTTAATTTGTGTCAATTTCTGTTGAGTTGGTGCTGGTTTCCTAAAATGTGTTATTTTATATGTTATTATGCAGCAAACAAGTGTTAAAGTTAGAAGCTTTGAATGTTCTCAGATCTGGGCGTGCCTGTTTCTAGAGTGAATATATAGCATGGAGAATTATATATATGAGTGAGCTCATTCCCTTAGCTGATTGAGAAAATTTAAAAACTTAATTTCCTAGTAAGTCTTCACCGATGGGAATACCCTGTGCTTCCCCCACCGTATCATTTTGTTAACATCTGTGTTTACTTAGAATACTGCTGAGATTAAAACATTCACCCAAAATTCCAGTGCTTGAGTGTTGCATAATCCCATGTCGCTTACCAGGAAGTCACATACGCTGCTGTTGAAGTTGTGTTCTGCCACGTTACTAGCCTTGGATATGTGTTATAATGGACGCTCCATGTTAAGCAAAGTCCACGTTGAGCCCTATTTAAAAAAAAATAAATAAGTTGCAGTTTGGTTTCTTCAAAAACATCTGCTGAGACATTATTAAACAAATGTGGAGGCCATTTTGTCTAACTCCAGCACACTCCTTCTGGTCAGATTTTGCAATGTTAATTTTAACAAAGAAGCTGATTTTTAAAAAAATGTTTTTTTCATTTGTGATTTCCAGTGTCTCTAAAATTTCTCAGTCTCTTTCAGATTTCAGAAGAAGAAGATAATTTTTTTAAATTCAGAGATGAATCGCGTGGAAGAATGGGTGCTGCAGAACAGGAGCCAAATTGAGAAAGGTGTGGAAATAATTGGGCAAAGCTGTGAGGTGCTAGCGGGCACGGTTGGCCAGCTCCATCCAATCCTGGAAGCTGTGTTCGTGGCTGCATCTGAAATCCTGAGCAACCCAGATGGTCAGGAGGCTCGATACCTGGCTGAGCAGTTTGGGAAGGTAAACCAAAAGCTGGAGGGCATAAGGGCCGAGATTGACCAGATTTCCCGAGAGATCCAGCGAACGTCCATGAACAAGCAACATTTTGACCTTGAAGCTCACATGCTCAGCCAGTACGACACATTCCAGGCCTTTGTGAATTCCAAGCCTGAATTCAGGAAAAAGAAAATGGAAAAATTTTTGAAACAATATGAAAACACAGAGGGTGACCTGAACATTGATGCTCTTTACAATGCAGTAATTGGAGAAAACCTCTCTGGGGACCCTCTACTGGTCACAGTGGTTGCCACTGAACAGAAGAGCCGAAGGCCTGTGGAAGACTTCTGTGCTCGGTTGAAGAAGCTCTTCGTTGTTGGCATCATAGCAGTAATGGGTTATACCTCCCTTAAGGATGGAGCCATAGGCGAGGCAATGGTTAAGAAATGGCAGGAGCGAATGGAGATAGTGGAGACCCGCATGAAAGCTGCTGTGGATGACTGCATACAAAACTTTGCCACTCAAGCCAAGATAGACATAGAGAATGAGCTTCTGCAGAATCCTGCCAGCGTTGATCCTGAGTTTACCAAGTCACTATTAGATATTCTTGCTAAAAAATATGACTGGGTCTCCTGGTCTGTTCAGGTCTTCAGTCACAATGGCTGGTTCTTTTGGAACTGGCTGGCTGGAAAGAAATGCTATGGCACCAGCGGCAACAACTGCTTCGACATCCTGACCAAGAACAACATGCGGGTCATGGTGTCATTTAGCGCCGCGCCAAAGCCGATAAACAAGGCGCAGATCCAAGGGCAGATCGAGAAGCAGAAGATAAAGGGGGACATGGTGGATGCAGCTCTGTTGCTTGGCAACAGCCTGCCCAGTTGCGTGGTGAATGCCGTCAGCCAGTATAAAAAAGTGGAAGAATCCAACAACTTCCAAGTGGACTGTTTTTACTCTGTGCAGTATAAAAAAGCGTATCTGTGCATTCACTCTGACTAGCCTTTCGATGGCCAAAGTTTGAAAAATGTGCATCATTGTCCATAAGCTTAACATTTATCAGTAAACACTCATGCATAATTGTTTTTTTAAAGGGTAGAGGGTCACATTTTGCATCCTGTTCAGACTATTGGATTTTTAAAACTCGTTTGTCAAATGCTTTGGTATAATGTTTAAATATCAAGATTTATGAGAATGAGATTTTTGTTGATCTTTTATATGGGAAATATGCATTTAATTTGCAATATATACATATATTAAATATACATAAATTTCTCGTTTGTTACATCTTTATGCTTTTTTTCATTTGTGCCCACAGTTCTGAATAAAAAATATTTATCTTTTAATATTATTTGCATGCTCCTGGCTCTCCAGAATACTGCACTTTTTAAAAATGTTAGATTTACATCGGAATTACACATGTGATCAGTTAGTATAAATAATTACTTAAAGTACAAAAGGGTACATCGTTGAAATATACAAACTATACTATTTAAATACAGGCTATGCACAAACTAACTAATATAACTATAATACTACTACAGTACGTCATTTTCCATGTACTAACAACAAAGACCCTCCCATCCCATCCTCGAACATTTTAATGGTTTTATGACCTTCCTGTCCATTTAACCAAATCAAAGGGATCGTGACCCAAGGACCCCGCCGGAGAGTGACCCTCCTACCCCGGGAAGCCGGTTTCACACTATTCATGAATTTACTATCACATTCATCTTAACATAAATACAGAAAATATGATTTACCTATTAATCAAATATACAATGTAAAAAGTTAACTTGTTTTTTTCTTTACCAGTGATTAAACATTTATTACCGAACTAACAATATCTTTCATATGACCCTATTATAAGTATTAAGCATAATTAATCTATCATTACTGAGAGGGTGTGCACTTGTTAATACCTTGGCGTGCATTTATGAAAATAAGGATAGGGTTTTCATTTACTACCTATATGAACTTAAGTATAGCACAAAAAGTAACCGGTTTCACAATACCGAGAAGCAGTAACTGCTCTGAAGTATCGCTAGGCACCGTTTCCAAATATCAATGTGTTACTTGTGACATNGTCTAAAAGTGACAGAATTTACACAACATAGAATATTCTTTAAACAATACCGCTGTCGTTGAACACGTGTGTTACCGCGAAAAGGAGATGTTTTTTGGATGATCTCTGTCATATGCGGGGTTGCCAACTTTGGTCAGCTGGCTGGCGCGAGCTTTTCAATTCGAGACAAGTCTGCACACGCACGCACATTTACATCTATGTCACGGTTTTATTACCTTGTAAATAGTAAATGGTCTGTGGGGTTTGCAAACTACCCCAATGCTTTTGATGTAGCTAATCTGTGGTTAATAATGTAATAATATAGATTCGCCGTAAGATTTCTTGCGTGAGCGTGAGGGTCAGAAAGCGCGTCACGCCGGATGAGTTCGAGTTGGCAGCCCTGCGTACGGTAACCAAACCGCCGCTGGGTGCTATCAGCCTGTGTGCCGCTATGTGTTTTACACACATTCAGATGTTTTCTCTAGGTCTGCACTCTGACTCACACCTGCAGGGTTGGGTGTTTGAACCCTGCTGTCTAGCTGTGTAGGGGTTTATGTTCTCTCTGTGCCATACCAGTTTGCTCCGGGTATTCCTGTACCCTCCAGCAGTCCAAAGGGGGTGCTTTAAGGTTAAATGGCCTCTCTAAATTGCCCTTAATGCATAATGTGCGTATGTGTGTGCATGTATGTATGTGCCCTAAGACAGACTGGCATCCCATCGAGGGTGTACCCCAAATTAATGCCCGTGCAGCCTGGGCCTTACATATCATTTCAACTCTAGGTAAGTAACCTGCCACCCTACTTAAAATGCAGTTATTGTATATTCATCTGAGAGAATGATCGTGTCGCACATTAGAGAGATGCTGGCAAGATGCTGAAGAAATGGATGGTAGAAATTCAGTCACGCTTCTTCAGCAGGAAATTGATTAACGAAACGGGTTTTGTTTTGACTGTGTTATTTATAATTAGTACAAAGACCTGTGAACTACTAGTAATTATCAAAAGAACGTCTGTAAAAGAGTGAGCAGTACTTTATCATACTTGGCCGACATTCTGTCCTTGAAAAAGCAGGAAGGTTTAAGGGAGTTGTGTCTCTGGTAGTGCGACAGAGTGCAGATCCCTCTGACTGGACACTCCGGGGAGGTGGTTGTTACTGAAAGGCTGTAATGCCCTGCTGTGTGAGTGTTTTCTCCTCAGATTGAATTAGAATGAAGCTCTTTCCTAATGCCTGTGCTTCCCTGTTTCTTTCATTTTTCCGGGACTCAGAGGATATTCTCATGTCACCAGTGATCACTCATGTCGTGATGCAGACCCAGCACAGCCAGGGCTGCCTATAGGAGACTATGTGCCGGAGTATCCTGCAACTTTCCCTGGAGTGTTGAACATGGGCAGAAGGTTTTAGGTGTCTGGGGGTAGCAGTGTGACTCAGTAGGTAGAATTTAGACTCGAATCCCTTCCCTGTTCTACACCCTAAACGTAAGCTTGGACAAAATGTCATGTGAAGTTATAATGCAATACAAAATAAACACAATGGCTATATATCAGATGTATTATATAATCAAAACATTCTGTAAAAAGTGATGACAAGAGTTGCTGAACGACCCGAAGTTGCTGGTACACTTTGCTGTTGTTGGCTTTGACATTTTATTGCTTTTGTTGTTATTTTATTTACTTAAGTCTTTTGCCGTCATCTTATTATTCGTATTTTAGTTTTCGTTTCATCAGTCAAAATGTTTATATCTAACAGAACAAATGCTTAATTTGACCAGCATGTTGAAGACAAAATCGATATTCCTCTATTATTTCCCAAAAAAACAGACTGCTATGTCACGCAAGAGTTCTTTGAATCAAATCGAAAGTCATGCCTTTCAGGGAAACCTTTTTGGAGCAGCAAGAAGAAAGGGCTTCTTACAGAGTAGTTTCCATTGTCATGTTACTATAGTAACTGCCCTAGTTGCAGTGGAAAATCCACTGTTGCCCAGCAAGTTTTACTTCCTCCAGTTAATCATTCTTCTTCTTTAAAGGGACTCTGTGCGATGAGCAGAGAGTGGTACTGCTGACAGGAGAGAGGATATTAGCTGATGTAATCATATACCCGTTTCTGGTTTCACACATTTACAGTGCTGGTACAAGGCTTCATTGTCATACAGCAGCTTTTAGTATGTGTGTAACATTCTTTGAAGTGGATGACCTGCACTGGTTCATCTGGCAATCTGATAAAGATGTCTGGAATTCGCCGGAACACAACAATGAAACACTAACAGAATGGTGGTATGTGCAGCATGATTTCATGACTGATTTTGTTTAAAACAAACATTTTGCCAAAGAAATCAATTTGAAAATGATACGTATTCATGAACTGCTTTGTGGAAAGTTGGTGAGGCCTAGATAACTGAAAGAAATACCCATAAATCCACAGAATCTTCTCAGAATGTTTGTTATTGCTTCGATAGCAAAAAATCGAACATCCATTCACCCATTCATTCAACCATCCATCTATCCATCCATCTTATAGCTGTTTATCAATCACAGTGTTGTGGGGGCCTGGATCCTATCTTGGGAAATCCAGAGCACATAGCAAACAAGGATTGAGTGGGAATGAAATCAGAAAATGGAAACTTTAATTTTTAATGCAGTAAAAAGTTACTTAACATTTATCTATATATTTCAGATTATTAGACATTTATTTGTTGCGAAAACAAGTATTAGCCACATATGTGTCAGCATTGCAGTATCTTTATTCATTTTAGCTTTTAACCAATGTGCAACGTTTTCTCATTACTCATTGGGTGTGTCTAGATGTTATAATCCTTGGATACTTTTCTGGGACAGATTCGTTAACACGATTAGTCTGCACTTTGTCTTTTCTAAAAAGAAATGGCTCGTTCACACAAACTGGTTTAGACAGATCAAGAAGTCTAAGGCCTAAAATTTACTATAAGGACGCTGTAAGTTGTTGCATTTGTTTCTCTTCTGAAAACCAGACGTATATAAGGATCCTTACTAAGGCACTTTCTAATAATACAGTATGTTACTGGAGGCCCAACATGTTTATTATTAAGAGAATGCCTAGAGTGATTCTGTATTACAGTGAGATTGTGAGCATGGTGGTGGATGATATGGGGTTTTCAAGTTTCTTGACATTGTATTGTTCATTGTGAAGCTGTCATAGGACAATACATAATGAAAACTGACACAGACAATGCCTTTAGCGCTTCAGCCAAGGACTGAAGCAGATCAAAACTGATGCCGCTTGCTTTCCAGTTATAATACAATACAAAATGAAGGTCATTTAGTATAGTAATTCTATCCTAGAGGACAACATCAACAATTTTCAAGAACCAGAGTGTTGTCACTGGCTAGTGAGGATCAGAAAAATCAACTAGCAACTGATGCAGTCTTTGTCATGTTTAAAAGGAAGTATGACTATTATCTTCATGGGGAGAGTCAGTTTCATTTTCTGGTGGTGGGGGGTTCAGTGTGGTGGTGAATAGGGTCAGATAAACCTCTCTGGGAGCCCTAGGCTGATATGGCCAATTGAGGGGATGCATTAGTGGTAAAACTTCACCAACTGGAGGGATGGGGGGTGTTGGCAGTGCTTATAATGGGGAAGGTGCTAATGGTAAAATTTACCAATTAGTCCACAACAGCAAATTAATTGTCCAGATTCAACAAGTTTAACCCTTCCATTTTTCCGAGGCATGGCGGAGCGTCTGATTTTTCCGAAGAGGGGCTCCTGATTTTGCGGACGCTGTCGGCTGTAGCCTCGGATATCTTGTGCAGTAATCCGCCGCGGGTGACCTGCCGATGACCAGTGGCCTTTTCCCCATAACCTCAAGATGACTGGAGGATCCAGGAAGTAATCCAGATGCAGAAGAAGCCAAGAGTAGTGACAGGGCAGCTGTTTGACTGCTTTTTCCTGTGTGCTTCATGAGGTCCAGTGTTTCAAGGACGTGGCCTGTTTTTGGAGATTCGCTGAAGAGTTATGCTGTTTGGGGTAGCTACTGGGGTGTGAATGAAAGTATCAGTGAAAGGTAGAACACTGATTATATCAGTACCTCTATTCCACTGAGCTGAGTTTTCATAGTCATTTTGAGTGATGGGTATTGTGACTGTATTGGCACAGAAGATTCTCATTTAATAAGTCTATGGGTAGGTTTACTTCACCACCTTGCTTATTTTGGTTAGGAAAACATTTATAATCAATGCGCCTTAAAAATA